TCTCTGCGCAGCACGTTCCACAAGCAAGATGCAATGTAAAAAGAATCCAGAGCTCATCTAGGACACTACTGTATGACCTGCGAGTCTGGGAGTGTTGCCGGTGCTTCCAGCCGCCAGCCAGGCTAGATGCCGAAAACGAGGCCATGGTGCAGGCTCGATCCACTAAATCGAGACGATCCTTCCGTGTACAGCTCGGAGCACCCAGCTAGGCACTGGTCAATGCTGTCCTGCGGCACTATGGCTTCAAGTATCCCTTCTTGACTTCTAGCAACCCTTGCGCCCCTCGTCGGAAGCCCGTCTGGCGACCCTAAATACTTGGAGGTTCCTGGGTAGTTTTAAGTGGGGTTGCAAGTCCCCTAATATGGGTTATAAGTATAGTTACCCTATTTTTAACCCCACTTATAACCGCCCATGAACCTCCCCTTATCGAACCCGTATAGATACCTTATATTCAAAGGACCCCTGAAACCCCACTTATAACTACCCATGAACCTCCAAGTGAGTTCTAAACCCTCCATATACCCTTATAGAAAAATTTCTATAGATTCCTTTAAAGGGGCCCTTTAAAGGAGCCCTTATAGCCACCCATGAACCTCCAAGTAGCATTCGTTTGCACATCGGGGAGGCAGCCTTGGACTCTCTGATGCAGCAGATGCAGGGAAGCTGCACCTCGACGGAGGGAGGGTCTGTAAGGGTTTAGGGTTTAGGGGTTTAGGGTTTAGGGGTTTAGGGGTTTAGGTGTTAGGGGTTTAGGGTTTAGGGTTGCTATCATGATGGCGACTTTCCTTCGGGATTTGGGTTCCGTAAGGGTTACGGAGAAGTTGCTATGGGAATTACTCTAAGGGCTGCTATAAGGGTTCTCTAAGGGCTGCTTTGGAGGCAGCCTAGGCATAATATACCATTCAACTTACTGCGTCATGAACCGGGGAGCCTTGCTGCGAGTACCTTGTTACAGACTTCGCTGTGAACTCGGAGTCCTCAACCTGCCAAGCGTCGCAAGCCCCAAGCCCGAGCAACGTTGGCATGTGATGACATCAGTCCGAGTGTTCATATCCAGAGAGAAAGGGCATGGGTTTGTGTCGGAAGCAGCATTGCAAGATACTGCAAGGTACCATCATGGTCATTGCTCACCGCCTCTCTACCATCAAGGATGCCGACCGCATCATCGTCCTGCATGAAGGTGCCCAGCCCCAGCGCACACACTGCGTGTGACAGGGCACAGCTTGCATGAGAGTTGTGCGTTGCAAAGCCGCCATGGCGCAAGGCGAAGTCGTCGAGCAGGGCACGCATGACGAACTGCTGCAGATCAAGGATCGCGACAGCCACCTCTGTCGCCAAAGCAGTTTGCTCTGGTCTGGGTCGAAGCACTCCATACGAATCAAAATTGCTGTACATCTTCCCTCCAGCCCTTCGACACGCCCACATCGGAAACGGAGTTGCTTGAATATCCCACTCACACTATCAGGAGCTTCACACAGCGAGCTTTCTGAAAGACAACTTCTACGATCCCTGGTTCTGTTTGTCAACAGAACCGAAAAACCAAGCCCAGATGGCGAGGGCTCAAGGGACGAGCCCAACCTTTCTGAGCCCTTGTTTGCAGAGGAGGGTCGATATGCCACCATGATCGCCAGACAGCTTCAAGGCCATTGGGGCTCTCACGCGGGTATTTTCTGCATCTACCGGGGCTACTTGAGTGGTCCTTCGACTTTCAGAGCGGATGCGAGTGTAAGGAGTTCTTTTCCATACGCCTACACTTTTCGGTGCTTCCCTATCCTAAGAAACTTCCGTGTGCAGGGTTGGAGGCCGACCATGTTGCAGCCATCAGAGACATGACGCGTTGTTACATTGCATTAGGTTATACTACATCATACTACATCGTTAGAAAAAGTATAACATAATACATGAGGTGCTATAAGACAAGACAAGATATGCTTTATCATACATGTTTATGTAGTAAACGGTGATATTCTAGCACATGAGGTTGTATTGTGCTAGATGATCTTACATGTTACTATACTACATTACATATGAATCAGTGTTCTTATCTATTATGTTGTATTACAATGTACTTTATCATGTTATACTACGGCGATGTAATATGTCAACTTATACTAAATGGGTATTACGCCACATTACAAAACGTCATACTACGATATATGACGTTCCATTCTATTCTGTTCTATTCTGGCTGTGTTGTGTTCCAGTCCATTCTAGCCTATTCTAGCATATCGTATCATATTTATGTTATAGTATGTTATCTTATGTTACGTTGTATCATGTTGTATGATGTTGTGTTATAGTTATATCAAACGGTACTATGTTACTTAACATTTTCTACTGTCATGCTTACTAACGGGCGGTCAGATGCCGAACGGAACGGCATTATGTAAGATAGCCAGGAGGTGCCAATTGCCAAGCGAAGATGCAGAGCTGTTGAAGCACAGTACAGAAGACGAGGGCTTAGGGTTTAGGGTTGACGGTATCTTATCCTTCTTACCCTTTGGGGCCTAGACAGTACGCACAAGCTTTAGGCTTCCTGCTCCAGCTCCAGCTTCGGGTTTGCAAGACCTGCATCTCAATACAGAGGCCTTGATCATTACTAGCCATATCCCATGATTCCCATGCTGCTCGCTATAAAAGTACTATACATTGAACCCTTCTTACACAGTTGCTAATCATATCCCGTGTTGGTCGCTACAAAAGTATTATACATTGAAGCCCTTTTGCACAAGCCTTTAAGTCGCCTAAGCTAAGCCCTTCACCCTGGCCGTGCAGAGGTGGGTCAGCAGACGGCGAGGAGGAGGGCAGAGGGAGTGAGAAGAAGGTGCATCCCCTGGGTTAAAGCCCTGAGCCTGAAGCTTGAAACCCCTAAACCCGAAAACCCCAGACCGAGTGGAATCTCGCAAAGTAACTGCTCCATGGATGGGACTAGGTTCACGGTCCATGGAATGATTAGAATACGGCTTCGTTGTACAGAATCATTTCTTTCTTTGTGGACCATAGCGGGACCCTATACCCAGCCCAGCCCAACTTAGGTGGAGGACGCGGTTGCTGAGATCATGGCCATCCTTGAACTAGTGAAGGAGGACCAGCGCAAAGATGTCATGATGGGAATCATGAAGAAGGCGAAGGGTGCTGGCAAAGGCAAAGCCTGACAGCATTTCTAGTTTTGGCCATTTAGCAGCAGCAAAAAGACCTACCCGCATCTTCACATGGTTCCTTAGGTTTTGCACGCATATGGTTGGGACGCGCCAAAGCCATCGGCCGCATGCGCCAGCCCTGCTAAATGCCTGTGCTCGATCATGCTTGATGGCGTAGGCCTTCTCGTAAGGAGGCCGTCCATCCTGTGAAGTCTGGGTGGACCGGCCTGCCTGGGACGAGAGCACTCGGTTCCAGCGGCAAAATCACAGTGCGCTGAGCCTGATCCTGTTTCACCTTTTCCGATGCGGGAACTCCGCTTTGGGATCTTTGGGCCTTTGCCTTCAAGCAACGGCTGCGGGTTCATGGATTCGACCCTACTGTGCTCGGAAGTTCAAGACCCAGGTTAGAGCATGTTGTGATGGTCCAGCCCGCCAGACTGCGTATTCCCCTACCGGGTCGCAAAAGCCGAAAGTACTCTACATCATTATTAGGATTATTAGGGCTTCGGTGTGCAAAGTGAAGGATTTAGTGATTGTTGCGGACATCCTTGCAGGCAGCGCTAGTATTGTCTTTAGGACGGCTATGACCATGGACTTGGTTTACTTCCGTGATGCAGCTGTGTTCTTTGAAGTCTGGCCCGCAATTCAGACCCTAAATGCAAAACTCTTCAACCTCAAAGTAAACCCTAAAACTCTCAAGCATAAGGCTCAAGTCCAAAATCCTTAGCCATGGAAACCCCAAACTTTCCACCTTTCAGAACAAAACGAGCTCCTTGATCTTGTGATGATTAGTAAATTAGAAGAGGGAGAAGGTTTTGGAGTAGACTATTGCAGAATCATAACAGGAGTCTCAAGATTTTTCTAGCACTGTTTCAGGCTTCTATCTTGAGAAAAGATGCCATTCGCAACCCTGAACCCACAGCGCTGGGTCCAAGCTGGCTGCGGCTTCCGGCTGCGGCTTCCATCCGAGCGCGTGCGGTGCGCCCCGGCGTCCCAGCTTTGCCCAGGATGCGCGAAGTGCCCCCTTGTACTTGGATAATCCTGGGTGGTTACAAGTAGGGTTCTAAGTCCACGAATATGGGTTATAAGTATAGTCACCCTACTTATACCTGTAAGTAGTAATCATGTGATGGGGGATTTTGAATCCTGGAAACAGGTCTAGGCTACGAAAACGGCAGATATCATCAATAGGAGTAAGGATAATAACCACCGTAGAATTGGCAATGCTATAGCCGAGGCTAGGAATAGCATGTGGTTTGCCCCTCGACGTCAGCCGTGTACATGTCTGAGAATTAGCACTCGTCCTTCGGCCCACGTCTCCCCTCAAATTGTGGAGAGGACAGGGTTTGACGGAGCCGCGAGTCCGACAGTCATGGCTCGTTGGTCCTTAGATCTACCAAATCTTCAAACAAATCTTCAAGCTATTCTTCAAACTAGGATGGGCGTACGGTCCCGAATGTGTGGATTCGTGCGCTCTGCTACGGTCTGTAGACAAGACTCCAAGTTGCACTTCGCAAATCCTGTGGGAATGTTTCTGTTCAGCCAAGCCCTCTGTGTACAGGTGGAGCGCTTGAACAGCGGATCGATTTCGTCCGGCAAAAAACACTCCCGTGTGACAAGGGATGTAGGGGGGTCTTTCATAGAGGGGCGGACGTCAGAAGCCTGAAAATGTCTGGTGTTTTCTTACATGTCTCAGCAGCTTGTGCAAACACCAAGCTCAGGAAGCCATCGGGCTCGGCTTAACCCTACACCCGAAACAGCCGAAGAAAAGGTCCGATACAGCGCAAAAGCCGTAATCTCCGTGGACTTGGCTGTATGCAATCTGAAAGTCTGAAGGTCCCAGCGCAACCAGCGGCCGAGGCTACACATGTCGGACAAGCTCTACTCGTCGGGCACACCGCCTGGGGTGGTTATGGGCCGACCCCCTGGTGACATTTTGAGATGTTTGAACATTTCGGCATTCATAGCTATGCTCTTCAGTCTATGCCATGTTGGAGTTGAGCCTCATTTTGCACCGATGAACTGAACTTCAACTCTGGCAGGACGCAAGTTAAGAGTTGTGGATACTGCTCAGAACTACCTTGCAGGAAGCCGGTACGTATCATCAATGCCCCACATGAGTGAGCTCCCTCTTCTCAGGCCTGGCGTGGACAGCCAATGGGGGTGCCACGTTGTACGTAGAAGCCCGGGGCTGGGGCCTTGGCCCCCAAACACTGCGTGATCAGGGTGGTGGCGCTGGGAGTTGCAGTGCTGCTGCAAGCGGTGGTTTTGGCGGTGGCAGTAGTGGTAGTAGCAGCAGTGGTTATGCTGGCGCTGGTTGTGCTGCTGCTACTCCTACTGGCACTACTACCACTACCCCTCCACCGGAACTGCTGCTGCTGATACTACATGATACTACTACCACTACTACTACTACTGCTGCTACTACTACTACTAGTACTCCTACTACTACTACTACTACTACTACTACTACGACTATTACTACTGCTATAACTACTGCTACTGTTACTAGGACTAGTACTCGTACTTGTACTAGTGCTATAATAGTATTCCCGCTCTCTGTTGCTATGCTCTGGCGACAAGCCCCACCGCCGCAGCCGAGGTCGTTTGCCCGACGGGAGGCGGGAAGTCCAGCAGCATGGAAGTGTTCTCGCGAGTTTGGAGTTTAGTGGTTTTGGCTTCAGACTCCCAACTGTATTGTTTTAGGCCTTGTTGGCCTGTGTTTTTTTGCGGCCATGTGTCCGCACTTTGTGGATTTTTGGAGGAAGCCGCAGAATACTCCAATTCCGCTCGAGAGGCCAAGACCTCCAGCAGCAGCCTCGAAATCCGGGGAGGGGCAAGGCTTCCAGTAAGCTTTGAGTTTGCAAAGCTGGGCGGGGCAGACAGACGGGCAACAGAAGAGGAGCAGCAGCTCAGTCCACAAAGAAAGCAAAGCAAAAACTGCACCTCTCTAGGCACAGGATAACGATTCCACACAGGCTAGTGTTGGTTGATGTGCTGTACCGTAGCCGCAAAGCTAACCGCAGCTAACCCCACGCCCCAAACTATCCTTAGTCCAGTTGGGGGCCTTAATAATTAGAACAGGGTTCCTTTAAAGGGATCCATAAGAGGTACTATCTAGAAGGGTTGTATAGTGACTTGGTCTCGAAAGCTTGCCAGGGTGCAAGGGGGTATGGCTTCCCTGACGCAACGACAGGAGGAGGTGCCTGCGGAACTGCAATCGCGTTTTGGTTCAAGCTAGCAATCAATCAATCGACCTGTGTGCCTATCCATGGACATGAATATGAATAAAGCTGAGTATCATACACACATGCCTATGTGCACATGTGTATATATGTATGTGTGTATTACCTATATCACATATATATATATATGTATGTATGTATGTATGCAAATTCTATGTATGTATGTAATTATGTAATTACGTAAGTCTGTATGTATGTACGTCTGTGTGTCTGTATGCCTGTATATCATACACACACTATGTTTTCGTATGTGTGTACTTGTACATGTGCATATACATGGTCATCTATGAACACATATGCATATGTACTGCATGTACATATACTTGCACATATGTGCAGGTGTATGTATATGTGCGTATGTGCACATACATACATATATATATATATATATATATGCGCATATGTATATATATATATATATATATATATGTATATATGTATATATACATATACATGTATACATATATATATATATATACACACACACACACACGCAATGCACACAACTTGTGGGTGCGTGTGTGCATTTGCAGGTACCATACATGAATGGCCAATGTCACGCACAATCTAAGAGAAGGTATAGTGTTGAAGGATCATGCTACAGAGTTCTGGACTTTGGGTGTACGGCCACAGCTGCGGGACCGATGCGACTGTTCCCTACCACAGGCTTGAGCGAGTTGGACCACACACTACAATCCAAGTCCTAAACCTCCATCCCCATGTCTTCGCGGACGTAGAAAGAGGCCTTAACAAAAAGACAAAAACCTTCATCCGAAACCTGGAATCCTGACAATCGCTGCTGGCGCTCACCCCAAGAAAGGCGATTAGCATGTCCACCTCCAGGAGAGCCGAGCCAGCACGGAGCAGCCACAGAACGGTGCGGGAAAGGGCCACATGCAGGCACTCGGCCGTGGTTCGAGACTTCGATGGTTGCTCTTGAAGGTTGTGACTACTTCAACAGAGCAAGGCCTCTTCCTTTCTCTTCCGAACGCCGTCAGATGTTCACTTCAGAAAACTGGTAGATGCTTCAGCAAAATCAGCTGCAGACTGTGGGATTGAGTGTTTGTTCGTTTGGCGTGCTTTTCCAGCTAGATTCAAGCATGTCAGATGTGATGCCGACGGTGACAATTATGTTGATGATGACGATTTCGATGAGAACCTTGAAAGTAACAACGACCCCGTAATTGTTGCCGCTTCCATTGTTGCTGCATAGAGTCTGTATTCTGCCCATATCTAGTAAATATGTTGCTGAGGAGTGTGACCAGCATCATGATGGTGGGAGCGATGGTCATGACAGTGGCCATGATGAGAAAGATAACGGTGGTGGTGCTGAACGCATGCAGTGCGGCACGCAGTACTAACAACGATGAAGCTAGCAACTCTGTGCGCATCTCGGGTCAAGCGCTACTGCAAAAGTTGTGCTTCGGGCGCGGGAATGGCGACGCGAGACGCCCAAAGTGGCGCAAAACTGGGATGCAGGCCACTGAGACTTGCATGGCTAGGTCTGGCGATTCTCTTCGGCTTCCTGGCTAGCTCAGCTTCGACGTTTACTGAAGTCTCGGCTGCCGCGAATGGGCGGCGAAAGATGGCACTGCGATGGTTCGCAATGGATTTTGCCATGGCTTTTGCTGCGGGAGAGCTACCTGCCGCTGCGGAGGGCGAGAATGTCGATCTGGGATATGAGAAGATGGATCGGCTAAAAGGCTCCCTGGCCAAGAAGCGGGTGAAGATGCCGGACTTCACTCCGCTCCCCAGCGGCTTGCAGATCAAAGATGCAGATCCGGGACGAGTTGGGACGTCAGAGGCCAAAGAGGGCGACTATGTGGTTTTCACATGGGAGGGCTACACTATCAATTACTTCGGACGACCATTTGAAACACGGACCTTACAAAAGATGTCTGGCGTAGACCCTGATCCTTTTCGTTTCCGTGTGGGTGACGGCACTGTCATCAAGGCGATCGATGAGGGCGTCCGGGGCATGCACGAAGGCGGAATTCGGCAGCTGATTGTTCCCGTAGAGATGAGCTATGACGAGGAGCATAAGCTCGCACCGAGGCCGACGACAGACGGTGGTAATCGAGCCCTTGACTTCGTGATGGACAACAAGGGGGGCCTTATGGACAAGACTCTGCTCATTAACATTGCAGTGAAGAGAATCTACCAGAAGTGAGCGACTGCGCGCTTGGTTGTGTGACCTGCGGAGTCCTCGAACCTAGCCCAAATCAGATCGACTGCCAGCATGGTACGGGCTGTTGCACGCACACGCACACGCATACACGCATGTCTGTAATTACTCTCTGTCGCTCTCACTCTTTCACTTTCTCTCTCGCTCTCTCTCTCTCTGTGTGAATAGGTGTTGTATACACGGACCGAGCAGCTCTCTTTGACATCCTCGCACAGTGGCATAGTATGTTTTTCATTCACATATTTTTACGCCAACGTTCACACCGCGTCACGATGACTCCTTTCACCTCGCACTTTGCGCTTCTGTATAGCAGTGTGTCTGGCTGCAGTTTAAGTCTAAAATCTAACTACATCTCGCAGCATTGTGCATCTTCACTTTATCCTACTGTGTACGTTTGTCTTTCCGTGTGCCTACCCATCTACACAACATATGCGTGTACTATCTATCTGCCCATTTATCAATGCATCTTTCTTCCTTCAATGTGTGGGCATGTGGACTATATCTGTGTCATGCATGGAGGTATTATCCATGTATGCATACAAAGTATTTATGTGTTGTGTTGTACACGCGCATTTCGCAGAGAAGTCGAGTATACATGTGTATGTATGCATATATATATATAGAGTTATATACATGTGTATATATATATATATATATATATATATGTAGAGCTTACATATACTGCTGACGGTTTGGTCCGGCGTACCACTGTTCAGCATCTCGACGGTTAGCATACTCTACCAAAGGACAGGCTCATCGCGCATGTGTTTTTTCGCACATTTAGATCTGGATTCGTGCTATGTTTTATTAAATGGATTACGTTTGTATTTTGTTCTCGTACGGTTTTAGGCTATTTTATAGCGCGTATATGATCATTATGATATGACATGATATGGTCTTATAATATCTTATATGAAGTTATATGATGCTATATGATGTTATGTTATGTTATGTTATGATATATTATCTTATACTTCGTCATATCATATTCTAATAAACCAAACTGTACAATTCTATTACATCGTCTTCAAAAACTGAGCTGGGCAAAGTAAGTCTGGCAGGTCACCGGACAGCTGGGCACTGTGATGAGCGAGCCGGGGGGCTTACTCTGTGGATTTAACGGGTGGAACGAGTCGGACCGGACTCCGAAAACCCGAGGTCCAGCTCAATCTCCTTGACGTACGCCCGGCTCTTCATGCGGGAGCCATCATCTCAGCTTTGCTGCTCTGGCACTCGCGTCTTCTCTCTAAGGGGGATCGTGTCTCGTGGAGCTTCAGTCGCAGTTGGCCGAACGTGTGGTATGGGGTTAGGATATCAGCTGAGTTCAGGCAGTAACAAGAACGATAGCTCCAGTAGTGCCTGCTTCTTCTTCTTCTTCCACGACAACAACGACGACAGCAACGATGACGACAGCAACTACTGACTACTGTGCTACTTCTTCTCCTGCTCCTCCTTTCACTGCCACGACTCCTGCTACTGCTGCTGCTGCTGTGCGACAGGAGGCATGGGCTGTCCCCTAACACCCCAAACCCGAAATGTCTCCTCCAGGTTGGACTCCAACAACAAATTCTTGGACACTGCCAGCATTCACCTTCATGTCCCTGAGGGCGCCACGCCGAAGGCTCCGGTCGAGACTACAGGGTATGATAGTATATTATAGTGCATTATAACATATTTATGCTTTTGTACGTTACTGTATGATACTATACACTTTTAGTATAGTCTAGTTTACTCTCGTATATTACAGTTGATTGATTATTATGTTGTAGTATCTTGTAGTATATCATACTATAATGTATAATGTATTAAACGTCCCATCTCTGGCCTTCTGAGTGTTCAGGATTTGAATCAAAGGGGACAAGGAGGGACCCTTAACGGGGACCCCTACCCTATAATGTTCCATATTAGGGGTATATTTTTTTGAGGGTATGTACCTCGGGGTCCTTATTAAGGGTCCCATCTGTTCCCCTTTGATTGAAGATTTCTGATTTGGGCTTTCGCAGGTTGGCGGTTTTCAGGCTGAGCCGGACGTGCAGTCGGAGGGTTTCGCGTCAAGCTAGGGTTTAGGATGTAGGGTTTGGGGGTTTAGGGGTTTAGTGTTTAGGGTTGGATGCCAGTCTTCTGTTGAAGATTCTGGTAGGTGGACTAGGACCGAGGACTGCAGTTTCGTAAGATATCCTCAAACCCTAAACCCTAAACCATAGTCAAGCTTGAGAGTTTCGGGTTCAACTCTGGGGGGCCTGAGAGCAACGATTCCTATCCTGTTGCGACTTAGACTTGAAATCCTGGCTCTAAAAAACATCCGAACCCTAAACCCCTAGACCCAAGCCCTGGCACCCAAAACTTGAACCCGCACCCCAATCCGTAACTCTGCACCGTAACCTCAAAGCCTCTAAATATCTAAAAGTCAGCTTCTGAACCTCTAAGCGCTGAGCCCTGTACCCTAAACCCTGAACACAAAAAACCTAAGCTCCGAAGCCAGCATTCACCAGGATGGCCCCTCGGCAGGGGTGACGATGCCCCTCGGACGTGCAACTTAGGGCTTCATGTAAGGGACCTGATATGGGATCGTATAAGGGGTGCTAGAAGGGTTAATTTAACGGTTGCTATAAGAGTTACTTAAAGGGTTACTGTAAGGGATACTGTACGGGTGAGCGTTTCTTGGTTACTCTAAGGGTCACCATGTACGTGCTACGGTTTTGGGGGTTTAATATAGGCACGGTAAGTATTCAGGCCACTGTGTGGGGTCACGACTTATTCGTTTGGGGTTCAGGGTATAAAGTTTGCCGTCCAGTCGCGTCTTTGGGTTGAAGGGGGTTTGCGGTTCAAGCATTTGGGTTTGGAGGCTTAGGGTTCAGAGGTGTGCCCAGCCTTCTGAGAGGCTGCAGTTGCCCACCCCACCCGTGACATCCATTCGGCAACCATGGATACTTTTTGGTTCGCTTGCTTTTCCGAATCTCTGACGGCCTTGAATGCTGAACTACCGCCTGGGCGTGTGCGTATATTGGATCCGGCAGTTCTTGGGATGTCAGAGTGACCGACATGGTTGATCTTCATCTACTTCGACCCGTGACTACACCAATCTATCCCTGAAGCCGAGGACTAGTGCCCTCGTCAGCACCGCCTTCGATGTCCCACTGTTGGCCAAAGCCTTGGCGAACGTGTTCTGGGATGTTTCGATGGTCCTGGGGAAGTTGCAACAGGGCTTGCTCCCTTTACAGCCTCAACCGCTGTGTAGTGCGGGTGGCAGGGATTCTGCGAAGCCTGGGCCCTGGCCTCGTCTGAGGATGACATCGCCATGACAGGCGAGTTGACGTTGATGGGCAAGGCAGATGCGAACGTTCTCAACTGTGCTGCTAGTTGCGATTGTTTTGGTCTGCTCCCCTGGCAGTAGTTTGCGTAAACGGAGGTTCTCAAAGTCGGTGGCATCAAGGAGAAGGCCTCGATCCGGGTGTATCTTGTTGTCTTACAGCAGATGCGTCGGCAAGTACTGCATCTGAATGCGACTCGCACTTTTGCATGCTGTTGCCTCGGGTTCCAGCACCTTAGCCTGCAGCTGGACAGTTTGCCACCAGGTGATCGCAGCACGTCGTGAAGGGGTGAAGACTCTCCTCCTTCCACGGCAGAACGAGGCCCCTCCTGGAACAAGTGACTGTCTGTTGTCTCGCCATGAAGCCGTGCATAGGCTGACTTCATGGAGCTCAAAGAATACCTCCGTCGCAACCTCAGCGCATCCCGAAATCGGTCAAACTCCCATACCCCTTGGTGCGGACGGCCCAAACGCAAGAGACAGTCGACATCACCGGAAGGTCCGGCGCAAGGTAAGTCAGACAGTGCCGAGGTGCTGGCATGACAGCCCATTTCGTCGACCACTACGACGTGTCTCAGCCGGAATAGGGGAGCTAACTAATCCTCGAATAGTCTTGGTTATCCGCCTCTTCATATGATCCGGTCTGCAGCTGTTGCTTTCCAAAGTTTCAATTTCAGATCACATGGGGCACGTTGCAGTTCAGGATCTCTGGCCCAGAAACCAGCTCGCTGGAAGAGCGGAGTTGAGAGTTGTTTATCTTCGGGGCACTGCCTGGACAGAAGTACGGATGTGGGCTGATTCTGATGCCCAGCGTGAAAGTATAGTGTGCACATTACCACCGGGGCTCGGGAGTAGAATAATTCTCACTGCCGCAGCGTGGGAGCGAGCTGTAGTATTGCGGGAAACCGGTGAACGCTCGGTCCGGAAGCGAATCCCGAATACTGCTAACTACGAACCCCCCTAGGCCTTAGACGCGAAGCCTGCAAACTGGCCTACTTGGAGGTTCATCTTTGTTATGAGTGCGCTGCTATGGGGTGTAATTATAGCCTTATAGCTATCCTAATTATAACCCGACGTGCAACCACCCATGCACCTCCAAGTGCCAATCCATCCCACTCCAAGAGCTCCAAGTGAGCAACTGTTGATGATATATATATATATATATATATGCCTATTCCTTATTATGGGTAATGATGATGATGATGATGATGATGATGATGATGATGATGATATATATATATATATAGATATACGCCTATTCCTTATTATGGGTAATGCTGGGTGCATAGCATCAACCGAAGGACGTGTACAAGCTGGCTTTCGACCAGACCAAGGCTGGCATCAACTCAAAGCTTCTAAGAGTGTCTGGAGGCTATCGTTTGCTTTTTTGGGGCTATTGTTTGTGACTATCATTATTACTACTTTTATTACAATTATTATTAATATGATTATTTTTATCTTTGAGGGGGCGGGGTGGGGGTTGTGAGGTTTTAGGGGGGTGGGGGGGTGGGGGGGGGGGGTTGCAGGGTTTGGGAGGTTTTGGGGTTTAGGGTATACGGCAGGGATAAGATACTCATTCTGCCATGACGCTCACACTAGGATGCTAAAAGCCGATTAGGCCCCGGCCGAACAATTCAGCATGTTTCCGTTTGCTGGCTCCTTCTCTTCGTCATTTCAAAACAAACACCTCGCACATTGCTGACCTTGTGGTATGTATGTATGGTCGAGAGAATGTTAATTCCTTGCCTTTTGCCTGGCGACTCGGAAGCTTCGCAACTCTCAGCTTCCAGGGTTTTGTTTAGGCGTCGGGGTATTGAAGCTTTCTTCGACATAGCCTGCAAAGCCCCCCCCCCCCCCCCCCAGAAAAGTACAGCAAATCAGTTTGACAGTCTGACGAGCTGCTATGTTCAGAGAACCCCTGCCAGGTGCCCCCTTTGTCGGCACCTTCGAGGGGCCTGCCCGTGATCACGGTACGGGACCTTCGGGTTGATTTCGCTTCGCGAAGCACTTGAGGTCTCTGTTCCTTCGGAAACTTTGCTATGCCATACTATACAAAACTAGAATATATATATATATATATATATATATATATACTATGCTAGTCTACTGTACTATACTGTCCTGCACTATACTCTACTAATCTAAGGCTTATATGGCTATACTTGAAAATACACTACACTATACTATACTACACTATACTAAGCTATGCTGAACTGTACTTACCGTGATAGAAGGTCGTTTACCAGAGTTTGATCTGCTGTACGTATATCAATATGTAATACACTACAAGGGTTATGTGGAGTTTGCGGGGTTCGGATGTCCTGAGTGTTTGAAATGGGAGCCAACAGACTGACTGTGATTGGATTGGGCACATGCTCAGCACCGCCAACGAGCATCTAGCTAAAGATTCACGAGGGTCTTGATGGGAGCAGATTAGGAGGCTCGCGAAGCCATCCCGATTGTGTGCGGTTTTTGCTTGATGCGATGCCTCTCAATTCACCTGAATGGAGCTTCTGCAGACGCCATCTTGAGACTTGCCCAGGTCATATGGACTTGGGATTTGAGGCATCCCCTTAAAACTGAGGCCCGAGGCCTTAAACACTAAACGCCGAAATGCTCGTCCCTGAGACTAAATTTCGGGTTCGCCTTCCAGACACTTTGGCCGAGGTTGTCACTCCTGAAGAAGTGGTGGCTGAGAAGGTCAGCGGCCTCTGAGTGGAAAGCAAGCGGTTTAACGTAATGTGGGCGGCTCAACAATTAGAAAGGGACTGCATGGGTCTTTCACGGGCTTAATTATGTGGGTTGAATGTAGGGGTCTGGATGATTAGAAGAGGGTTTTGGCAAACTGATGGCTGTAGGGAAAGACGATTCGTAGTGATAGGGGGTGATTACTTCGACGTCGCTAAGAATTACAAGGCAATCTTTCCCCTCCTGCCCGAACCCGCGAAGGGATACCTATTTCCTTTCTAGGGAGTGTTTGACACACCCAGAAGGAGCCACGCGACTAATTAAGCCCTTGGCTGAAGTATGCGCCTGCCGATATATACCTCAAGCCTTGCAACGTGCCAAAGGAAAATGGCCTAGACCTCTCAAGCCCCAAGGTGCTAAACCCCAAACTCTCAAACCCGAAACCCCGACACCCTGAACCCTAAACCCCCAAACTCTCAACCCCGAAACACCTGAACCCTGAACCCTGAACCCTAAACCCTAACCCGAAACCCCTAAACCCCCAAACCCGGAAGCCATCAACACAAAGCGCTGGTGCTGCAGAGACGCAGGCGGAGGCGCCCTCGCCCGAGGCAGATTCTTCGGCCAACGAAGGCTGCACGATTCAATATGGGTGGTTGTCAAAATTATGGTCCCTTTGTGGGTCCTTATTATGATACGGCGCCTAATATTTTAGGGTACGGAAAAAGGGGCCACTACCCATATAGGGGCCTGAATAAATACTTATACTATTTTGGGGTTCCTTATTCTAATGATACTGTAGTATAATGGGCCCCGAAACTTTATTCTAATTATTATGGCCCCTATATCAGGGTTTTGGGGTTTAGGGTTTCGGCCGCTACAGGGTTTCCACGGTATGGGGGCCTGAATATTTAGAATATGCTACGTGGCATTATGTTATAAAGTATACTTATAGAAGGACTGGGGCCTTGAACCAGCACCCGTTCTGCTTTTTCACGCCCCTGTATTTGGGCGTCTGCAGAGCTTGTATGATGGGGTTGACACAGAGATTACTTCGGGTTTTCCTGGGATGTATGGGGCTCTGTGTAGGCTGAAGCATGGTCGGGTTTTGTTAAAATCAGGAGCCTGAATAATTACTACTAATGATGCTTAGAGCCTTAAAGGTCCGTAAGACGAACAGAGTAAACTGTACAACAAACCCTGTTCTCTCTATTAAGGCTTATTTGCTTTTCTAGGATCTCTTCGCAGTTCAGAAACATAGTAAGGTTTGGGGTTCAGGGCCGTTTACCGTTGAGGGTTCAGGGAGGGGTTCGGGGCTTAATGTCTTTGGTGCAAAAAAGGGAAGCGGTTGTAGTACGATCCAAACTCTCCATTGCGGCCCTATGCACGATGCGGTCTGAAGAACTCCCAATCGTAGTTCTTCGTGATCTCTATATGGGAGTTTCCGAAAATAGGGGACCCCGAAATAGTACCCTAAATAGTAGGATCCTTATTATAAGTACCCCACAACGCGGTACCCCTAATTTTCGGAAACTCCCATATGGTTAAAATCTAATATCACCCTCACCCAGGCCATATCCGAACCCTGAAGCCATGAGAGTTCCCGGCCCTCGGATTCAAGGGCATAGGGTTGATGGGTTTACAGTTGAAGGGTTTCGACTGTAAGGGTCTGGGGTTTAGGCATTCAGTGCCTCCTTGAGCAGTGGCTTCTTGATAAATTCAGCTAGATGAGCTCGCAAGAGGCACTTTCGTTTGGTTTTGCCGGTAGACAACCTATGATTTTGGTTCATAACACTAACCCAAAGACTAGAAGAGAGAGGTTGGGTGTTATTGGCTATGCAACCATCCTGTTGCAAAGCGAGCTTTCAAGAGCTAGCAAAGGTTTACAGCCGACATACGGAGCACGACCATAACCCACACATCGGCTCATTCCACAAGACCCCAAAGGGGCTTTGGCGGGATGTAGAACTGTATAACTATGATAAGGGAGCCTCAAACAAGATAATACCCTAAGCCCTGAGATCGTTTCACTCTGATCAGCGAGCCTGAAGCAAAATACTCTAAGCCCTAAGCAGTGCCCTCAGAACTCCGGCGGCAGAAGCTGCAAGCGCTTGCCAGGTCAGCCAGATCCGCTGTCCCAGCAGCCTCTGCCAACAGGCCATGCCCAAGCCAAAATTCCCTAAACCAATATACATATACATGTATCTATCTATCTATCTATATACAGGTATAGAGATGATAAATACTAGTATCAGTATCGCTACACATTAAAATATACAAATATATATATATATATATATATGTGTATATATGTTTATGTACACTCCCAAGAATCCCTCAAACTTCTTCTTCCCCTCAAACGCTAACTAAGCCCGCCTGAGCCGTAAACCCTCGAACTACAAATCCCTCAAACTGGGTGGCTGAGCGGTTCGATCTGGGACTACCCAGGTTTTTACGTAGTGGCATGTCTCAGATTTCGCTCTGGCTGAAGCCTTGAACCCGACAGCCAAGATGCCGGTTGCTCGAATCGTGGTTTGTCTGGTGCAGTGCACCATGCAGAAACTATGAATTCTTGCGAGTCACTTCATCTCCCGCAGACCAGATGATGCAACAAACTTCACTAGACATGCGATTAATGCTTTTGTTGTCTTTTGCCGGTGAGTTCCTTGTTTTCTGGAAGAAGCGGCCCAGCATCCCGACAAGCCAGTGTAAGTCAACTCCGGATCCCAGCAGGGTGAGCTAGTCATATCTTCATCTTGAACTCCCTGCTGGCCACCCTCTGTGCACCCATCAGCAGGGCAGTTGAATCTGCGTCTGCGTCGGTCTCCGGGGTCGCTGGTACATGAGTTTCGTTTTTCAAGTTGCATCGAGGCATTCAGGGTCTAAATTGCAAGACATCTCTGGTTGGAACCGGGTGCAAAGTGAAGGCATTGCTTTGAAGGTTATCTTAGGCCAACTCGGAATCCTGACGGAAAGCGATGGTAGGATACTCCATGATGATCTGGAGTCTTCGTCCGGGGCGATCGACAGATTGCGGGATCCAATTTTGTCGATGCGCAGAAGGCTTCATTCCTTAACAGGCTGCTTGCAGCTTCACCTTGAAAGTCTTTCTGAGGCAGGTCGCACAACCCCCAAGCCCTCTTTAGCAAGCATCAGTTCTTGCAGATTCCGATATAATATCACGATACATAGTGGCACATGGTATGGTATATGCTAGTATGGATCTGCTCCATATGATGATGGATTTATGTGTGTGTGTATACACACAGGTACAAGTACACACACTCACACACAGATCATCTTGCGCGTCTATGTTCCAACTTGAACCTTGGACGAAGCCACTCGGAATTTGTCCAACTTGCTGAAGGCATCAACCCGCGGCCAAGCCAAACGCTTTGAGCCAGGCTCTAGCCCGATAGGCATCAGGGTTGTTTTTGGCTTTTTTGGGTCTCAGGGGTTAGAGTTTGGGGGTTTAGGGTTTCGGGGCTTTCGGTTCAGGGTTGGTGTTCCAGGATGAGGGCTTGAGGCTGGGAGCTCCAAGGTGACGCCATGAGCCACGTTTCGCATTAGGCATGGTGTTGAGGGTACTGGGATCTCGCTGTGCGAACGCGAGCCAGTCACTAAGCACTAGTAAAAGGATGCTCGTTGTGCAGTTTCAGGTCACAGGTTTTGGGTCACACCGCATAGTTGAACCATTTCCTCCGCTTGTGCAGGAGCTACCCGTCGGGCCAGCATCACGACCGCCCATCCCATTTCCGTGTGTGGCCGCCGGAATGCTGTGTCAAGAGGTGCCCAAAGATGCACGGCAGCAGAACACCTGAGTTTTTTTGATGAGTCAGGTCTTTCCTGTGCTCCTAAAGCACACAAGGCGTGCTTAACGGCTTCCTATCATCCTGGTGTTTCCCGATAGAGGAAAGATGACTTTTCGCAAGGTGAGGGAGCAACCAACCAGTCGAGTTGCCAAGTGAGATCAAGGGTTGTGATGTGACAGTTGGTGTTGCCTCAACCTCAGCCTCATGTCAAAGTTGACAGAATCTATGCGAGATAGGGACCAGCTCCGGACACAGGGGCGAACGATGCAGGTGATGGCGTCCAATCTGTAATTCGTGGAGCAGACGAAAGCAAAGACACATGAGCACAGCATGTACAAAGCTTCGGCCCTGCACTCCGAAATAGCGCCAGAGCGAGCTGTCATTGCTAAGGCTGCTAAGGCTAGAAATGTTGCTGTAACCGCTCTTGGCTTCTGTTTCTGGAGAGCAGAGGAAGGGGGTTGCAGCTTTAACTTCGTCTGTAGAAGTTGAGCCTGTATTGGCTAAATTTTCGCCCTGCCCATGTTGCTGTCATGCTTGTTCGCCCACCTAGGACCATGTCTTGATAGTCATCATCCCCGGCTTGCTTCGTGCCTCATAGTCAGACAGTCCTCGACTTTGAGATTCGATGTTGCAGATATGTTGCAGTGAGGTATTTCTGCAGCACCCCGACTCGACGTCACTTTTGTTTACCTCCTGTATTGCCACTGCGAGAGGTTTGCCAAGATTTTTACACCAGGCTGAGACGGTCATGGGCAGGCTGAAGCCAAAATCCCGGTCTCGAAGAGGATCTCAGCAAACTGCAGGCTCAAATAGGGCTCTGCAGCATATTTCAAGCTATCTTCGGAGTGAGATGCTGCCGGGATCTCGCGTGATAAACCAAAGGAGTGCGCAGCCATGGGACGTAGCATTCCGGTTGCAGGAAATACTTAAAGTATTAGTAATTAGTATCAATATTCGTATTAGTCTACTATTGCTCTTAATACCAATATTAGTGTTATATATAAACCTCCCTTGAGGCACCCCCCCAAGGGCGGGTCAACAGGCTGAGCTTGAGGCAGAGAGCAGGCTGACTCACGAGCTTGAGGATCTATATGGGTAGTTGTCAAAATTAGGGTCCATTGACGGGTACCCAAAATATGAGGTGCCGCACTGTAACAGGGACCCAAAAAGGGACCATAATTTTGACAACAACTAGTCAGCGACACTGGGAATAACCGGCATGGTCGAAACACTTGGCTCCAGACCTTGCCGAGTTGCAGTGCTTCAACTAAGAAGCCGTGGCGCACGCGTGCTGTTGACAGCTCGTTGTTGTAAGTACGACACGACCTGAATAGATCTGAATCTGAGTGCTTATGGCTATGTGAGAGTTGAGATGCAAGTGGACATCTTTCCTGAAACCTCAATCGAGGCTGCTCATTGTTGTATGATGTTGTATGCCGTATGCTTGCTGCTTGATCCTGATGATACTTTTTGTGTATGAAGACGTTGGTGATGCCATCACTTCGGAGGAAGAACAATCAGGCTTTGCAGTCCACCACGCGCGTGTTTCCTACCATCCGCTCTTGGCAGTGTTGTAGCATGACAGTCATTTCGTGCCGAAGCGCTCAAGCCTGAAACGTCAACGCCCAAGTGTCTCCCAACACCCAATGGCCGAAGTTCCGTCAGGAAGCCGCTTGAACCCCAAACTCCAAAACCCGATGCACCATCGACGAAAAGGTAGGACAGGTAATGTAGGAGCCTGAATAATGAGCAATACCATTTTGGGGGTTCCTTACTATAATCATAGTATAAGATACCCTCCAAAACCCTATTCTAATTATAAGGCCCCTGCAGTAGGATGCAGTCCTGGAGGCCTCTCCCATGTGATGCTGCTGGGCCGGGGCGGCTGCGGCTGCTTTGAGCCTTGAGGTCCCGTGGTTGGTAGGGACCTTGAAATTCAGAAGGCTCGGCGGATCTCCAGTCTGCCAGGTGGGGAGAATGTGGCCGGGGTTCAGGTGGGTGGGGATAGCTGGACAGCATGAACAGTATCGGCTATGGAAGCCGCCTGCTTTTTTGATGCGTGGGTTGTGGCTTCATTGAACTCGCATGAGGCCCTCAGCCCTAGTCGCCTCATCCGGTACTTCCACACTTGAAAGTCTAACTAACTACCTTTTGTCTCTCAGCGGTAAAGACGTCAGGGTCGTTCCGGTCGCGGGGCCTGAGCCCAACGCGCCACACTCTATCCGACACGAACCCTGGAAATCATCGTAACATCTTGAACCACCAAGAAGCTCCCTAACCATATTTATAGTTATTAGTTTATGAAGAAGAATAAGCGCATCAGTAGCAATCATAATCAGGATCGTAATCGCAATCATAGTTGTAGTCATCATCGTGGGCAGAGCCACAATCACAGTCATAATTTAATAGTAAGAGTAACAATAGCAATACCAATCATCATCATCATCATCATCATCATCATCGTCACCATCATACAGCCCCAGCAGCATCATGGAGCTCCATAACAGCCCTTCAGCCTTGTTTTGAGCCTTACAGTGCATCTTGAAGAGCCTACACACCATGAAACCCATGACGGAAAGAGGCTACACCCTTCAAGGACTCCTGAACCCCTACATCCCTAAACCCCCAATCCTAAAGCCTTGCAGCCGAAGCCGGAGACCCCAAAAACGCTTAAACCGTAAAACCCCAAGCCCGAAGCCCTGTGAAGCCCTGAAGCCTAAAAAGCTAAAGACCTAAATCTCAAAAAACCCTAAGCCCAACGACCCTTCAAGGAATTCTTGGAGTCATGTCTCTTCAGTTTTTGGGCTCGAGCAAAACCTCCGCCCAGTGGCGCTCTCCGAAGTGCCACGGCTCAGTTGGCCTCCAGCTTTTGAACTATTTTTATATGTTATACTATATATATATATATAATATAATGTATAATATACTATATAGGGCTCAGGGTTTGGAAGGCACCAACACCCCGCAGCCGTAATACGAGCAACTAGTCCTAAATCCTAACCCGGGTTTCTAGGGGCCGGAGTGTGCTGTGGGGGGGGGGGGGGTATTTCGGGTTTGGGTGCTTGAGAGGTTGGGGTTTGAGAGTCGGGATTTACGGTTCCAGCATTTTGGGAGATCCTTTACGGTGGGGTTTGCGAGAAACCTTAATCTCCGTACCGTGCAAAGCCTGCTTCCGTACAGTGGTCTAAACAAATTTCAGATAATGGGCTTTAGGTTTTAGGATTTAGGGCTAGGGCTTCAGGGTTTTAGGGTTTTCGGGTTTAGGTTTTAGGCTCTGGGGCTCATGAAGCCCAAAGCCGCGAGGCAGCAGAGGCCTCGTCCAAGAGATGTCGAGCCACGACTCTTCGGTGTCCGATACCTCATCCAGAGAGGTTTCCTGTCAGAGTCTTACCTTTGGTTAGTAGGGAATGGAAGAATGGTAGCAATAGTAGTTATAATTGTACCCCATTCCTCCATTTCCTACTAACCAAAGGTACGGAGTGTGGAGTTTCGGGTTTCAGGGTCTCGTGTCGGGTTGGGGTGAAGGAGTCAGGGCAGAGGTGGGCATCGGCCCGGCTCAGCTTTTTATTTTGCCTGTCTTGCTATGGGGCATGGGGTGTTGGACGTGCTTGCCAAAGGTCATGTACTTCAGGGGCCCTAAACAATTACTAATACTGCTTTAGGGGTTCCCTATTATAAGTATAATGGGCTCCGAAACTCTATTTTAATTCTTAAGACCTTTATATTAAGGGTTGAGGAGAGTTCCTTCCGAGTCGAGACAGACTTTTTCTTAAAAGATGGGGCCACGCCATCGACAGCAGCACTATAGGGGCCTGAATAATTACTTATGCTGTTTTGGGGGTTCCTTATGGCATTTACGGTATAGCGGGCTCCAAAATCCCATTACGATTAAACTCGAAGACTAATATAGGGGCCTTAAGAATTACCAATACTCGTTTTGGTGGTTCCTTATGATAAAGAGCACAATGGACACCAAAAACCCTGTTCTAACTATTAGGCCCCTATATCAATGTAGTGGCCGGAGCTGGTGCCAGTGCTACTGCGAAAGCTCGGGATGCTATTCATGATGTTGGCAGGGGAGGGTTTCGGGTTCAAACGACGTCTCTGCACCATGTGTTGTGCTTGAGGCTCGGAGTTTTCCAGCGTAAGTTGGTGATTTTGGGCTCGGCAGCCCTTCTCAGTTAAACTTCTGATTGAAGCCTTCGGCCAGTTCGCCTGACGACCGGCATCCTCAGCCCAACGCCAGGGTGAAACCGACTACGTTGTCGAAGAGGTTGAAGTGCACCAGGAAGAGGAGCGGTGCTTCTTCTTGGACGGCAAGTCTCAAAACCCAAAGCATCATGAGAAACGGTAGAGTGACAGAGACTTGCCGAACTCCTGAATCTCAAGCCGTCAGTCGCACCGGCGCTCGAAATCGATTCGCGACAGGACTCGGAGGGACGTAGCCCTATCGGTGAGGGCGAAGGCACCCAGGAGGTCCGTGCTTTGCTGCGTTGATAAAGCTTTGGAAGCCCCGTCCGTGTTGGCTGCTTTTTGCCATTGCTTGGCAGCTGGGGGTTTGAGGATTTTCAGATGGGTTTCAAGGGTCCTTGTTCAACTTGTTGAGGCTTTGCTCCGAAAAAGATTTCGAGTTGAAGGGGGTGAGGTTTCATTTACGGATAAACGGAGCCCAGCGCCTTCTCCCCTCACTGTCCTAGGTCGAAATATGTCCATGCCTCGAAGAACCGAAGCAATGAGATGTTTGCTGGTTTGCACAGGCCCTTTCTTAGAACTGAATTTAGATTCGCACGGGGCTCTGCTGTGTCATGGCCGATAGTGACATTGCAGGAAGAGGAGTGCTTCGATGAGTGCCCCTTGGTTTATCGGAGTCTGCTTGAACCAATTTGTGATCGCAGTGTGGCATTTTCGTCTGCGACTGACCAGCATGAGCGGAGCCACTGAGGCTTGGAAAAATATCAGGCGCACTGCACCCAGAGTTCCTGGAGGTATGATCCACACTTGAAGCCTAACCCCCCGTCCACTAGATCTTAGGTCGATAGAAAGGCCCGACCGAGTTCCTCATGCAGATCTTGCAGACTGATGGCCTTAAGAGTGAATTTCTCTGCTGGTTGCGAATGTTGCGATACGTAAGAGAGGCCCGAGTCTAGGAACAAGCTTGAGGGGGAGTCGTCGAACAGAAAGACCGAAAATTGTTTGACGTGCCGACCTGTCGCTGCTCTTGCGATGGAAACTGGCATATGCGGGTTGCGAGCCAATTTACAGCAAAGTGTGGGTTCTTGCGTCATGTTCGGCACCAAGCATTAACGAAGCTGGGGTCATAAAGTTAGGCAAGGCTTGAATTGCAAGGCAGCCTTTTTATTGGCAGGCCAAAAGTCCATAGCACACCGGACGCACGGGCTTTTGATGCTGTAGTGTTGCAATCTTCATGGCCTGACCTCGTGCTGCCCCAGTCAAATCGCGCGCCGTTGGCAGACTGTGCAAGAGCTCGTCCTCGAAGACATTCGCATCCAGGAGGATGTGGCTGATGCTTGCAAAGAGGCCTCACGCCACAAGACCCCATACACATGCGAACACGACGCATCACGAAAGCTTTCTGAAGGGCTTGCAGCTGTTCGGTGTCAGGCATTCGTGGTTCTCAGGAGCTGGGAGACCGCCTAAGCAAGAAAGCTTGTTGTACCTCTTACAATTAGGGGTGGTCTTCATTGTGTTGCTTTCAGGTACCCTACACCCTAGTCCCAGAGTCCCAAACAGTCAACGTCGCTGAACTGTACGCGGCCTTTCTGTTCCCGTTTCCAGAGGGGTGCTTGCATCTCCTGAGGTCCTCGCATCCTTCATCGCCATCATCCCCCATCACTGTCGCCATTACCATCATCATCATCATCATCATCATCATCATCATCACCCTTGTCGTCATAGTCACCATCGTTATCATGATCATCAGCATCATCAGTATCATCACAATCCTTGTCGTCGTCATCGTCACCACCACCGCCACCCGCACCGCCACCTCCACCACCATCACCAGAATCATCGTCATGATCGCCATCATGAGCAATACTGGCTTTGGTAGTACTGAAACCAGAACGGCTCTTGCTGTTACGACGCTTCCGAGCAAAGCCGGAGTGAGTTGCTTTTCCGCAATCATGCCGACCTCGATAAGCAAGAAATGTTCCATCTGTGGCTTGAGTATAATGTGTGTTACCTGATTATACTATACTGCAATATTCTATTCTTCTATAACATACTGTAACCGTTAGAAGGTATACTATAGGGTTTAGAGGGTATGGGTAGGGTTTAAAGACTAGAAGATGTAACTATAAGGTTTAATATGATTTCCTTCTATGAAACCTTAAGATAGGGCCCGATTATCATATCTGTGTCCGGAATTGGCCAGCTTTGCAGCCCGAAGTGTAGGCATTAAATCGTCCGCCTGCCTGCAGATTTGGAACCGGTTCATTGCATCTCAGTCAAGCCGCGACGCAGCGGGCAACTTCGGCTGCACCATGCAGTTTTCTTTCAATGGAATTTGGGTCTCAGGTTCAGGCTGTTGAGTTTCAAAGTCCCCCAAGCCCGAAACCCTAAGCCCCTAAACCCTAAGCCCTAAACCCTAGGCCTTAGACCCGAAATCCTAAGCTCTAAACCCCAAGCCCTAAGCCCTGAACCCTGAGCCGCCGCCGCCCAGGGGAAGCCATCTACTCCGCCGTGTTTGATGCTGCTCCCAGCCTTCAGGGGCTCTTCAAGACGCCAAGGCCCGTTTAGGGCTTAGGGGTTTTGCAGTTTTGCGTTGTTTGTTTTTTTAAATGGGTTTTGGAGTTTTGGGGGGTTTGAGGGGTGTTGGGGTTTAGAGGTCTAGAGCTTTGGGGTTCAGAGTTTATGGTTTTGGGCGTTTTGGATCTCAGGATTTAGGTGGCATCATCGAACCGGGCAGAAATCTGGGGTTTCCCAGCCGTTCGCGAGAGCCGGGTTGATTGGTAGATGCCCCCGCCTGTGTGCCCACCGGACCCGGAAGAAGGAACTGGATTGGAAATCGCGGGGCGTTCAGGGCGAATGTTTTCATGAAGTTGCCTGTTGGATGGATCCCTTTTGGGCTTGGTTTTAGAAAACACGTGGTTTATCAGATTTTTCATTGGTCGGGCCACATCCAGGTACTTCCTTAATCCTTATTGACCTTATTGTTCTTGTCCGATGCGCAGTGCAGGTCTGTGATGGCTATGCGATTTATGAATGGCCTGGGACCTATTGGGTCTTCTTCAAGCAGCGCCAATACCACATGTTTCCAGAAGCCCTTCTAGAGCGCAGATAGAGGCCCGAAGAGTGGGCAATAGAATCGTTCAGGGTTCACCACTTTCCATCTACTGTAGCCCACGCCCAAGACCCTATTTTTAGGGTATTGGGGCCCGAAAACAGTGAACCCTACAAGGCCTGTATAGAACCGTATTCGGACTATGAAGGCCCCTGTGTTTTGTCCGAGTTTTGGGCTGTGGACTTCGAAATTAATGGCCTTTGCTGGCCAGAAGTCCTGCCCGAAGGCCAGCCGGGGGCTGTTATCAACGATAGTAACGATGCACTCAAAGTGATGGAGGGGCCTCGACAAGTAGAATGGGGGGGGTTCTGGAGGAGTATTACTTTATAGTTGTATCGGGACGTCAGGGGAATACTGTAACAAAGTATAGGCCTCTATATTCGGCCCAAGCAACGTCTTCCGTGGCTTGTATTCTTCTGGGAGTATCTCTCGGTTATTGTTGCAAACCGAGGCTTGACCAGCATCATCAATATCTGCCACAATCCATCTGGGCTGAGGGCGCAGGCGTGAGGGCCCGCTGTGGTTATCACTGCTCTCATTCGGAAATCGTCTATGCGCATAGCAAGAAAGATCCGCAGAACATCAGTTGTGGGCCTTTGAGCTTGAAGCTTGTAGTCGCCGTGCCGTGGTCGTGGTGGCGGTCGGCGTGTTTTTTGTGGTCGTCCCTGTCGTAATCTTTGTCCTGCTCCTCCTCCACCCCCTCCTGTTCTTCCTTGGTCTCCTCCTCTTGCTCCTCCTCCTCCTGCTCCTCCGCATCATCAAATCACCACCATTACCCTGGCCACCTGTCATCGGTGTTGCTGTCGTCAGCGCGGATATGGTGTGAAAAACTACGTTCCATCATCATACCATTACCATCTTCGGAACTTCCATCTGCAGCAACAACTGCAGTGCACACTCTGGCGAGGAAAGACCGTACCCATCCAGTAACTGCTAGAAGAGCCTGACCAAGAGCTTCGGGGCTTCAGGACGTTATCCGCGCCCCTGACTCCGAACTTCTCCTCAATCCCAAACTGAGCCCCAAGCTGATCTCGGCCCGCCCTCAACCGAAGCAGCTTGAAGCCCTCAGTCTAGGGCTAGGGTTTAGGTTAGGGTTTAGGGATTAGGGTTTGAGGTTTAGGGATGATGGTTTCAGGTTTAGGGTTAAGGGGTTCGGGATTGGGCATGAGGGTTTGCTGAACCGGAGCAGGTTGAAGCCCTGGGTTTTCAGCATCTCGACCTTGTGCCGAGCCCAGCTCGTCTTGGGGGGGCAAAGGGATGTTCAGAGCTAACATTAACATAGGGTATAATGGGCCCCAAAACCCTGTTCTACTTATGATGGCCCTTATATTGCGGAACCACTTGGAGGTTCAGGGGTAGTTATGAGTGTGGGTTAGAAGTCCGCTAACATGGGTTAGAATCAGAGTTTCCCTACCTATAACCCCGCTGCTAACTACCCACGAACCTCCAAGCAGGGGGGTTTCTGTGGGTTTGGGGTGTACTTGGAGGGTCAGAACTCAAAAAGGGACCCTAATTGGGGTTATGGTAATCATAAGTACTTAAAATAACCAATTATTAAGTCCCCCGACCCTCCAAGTAGGGTTTAGAGCACCTCGCAAGAGCCATTCAGATTCGAAGCTCGGCTGTCCTGCGCCATGAACCTCGCAACCTCAAACCCTTCGGCCTGAAACCTCGAACCCGCCCACCATCATGGCTGGGTTTAGGGTTTAGGGTTTAGGGTTCAGGGTTTAGGGTTTAGGGCTCAGGGTTTCGGGTTTAGGGTTCAGGGCTTAGGGTTTAGGTTTTAGGGTAGATTGCCGTGGCTCTCAGCATTTGCCTAAGCTCCAACTGAAACTCACAAGTGGAGACTTCAATCCTGAGCACGAAGGCCCAACCCACAACCCTGATGGAACCTTTTCAATACCCTTATTGAAATCCTTATGGGGGTTTGCGAAAACAGGGGACCCTCATATAGTACCCTAAAAAGTAGGGATCCTTCTTATAAGGACCCCAAAATAAGGTACCCCTAGTTTTCGGAAACTCCCGTATACAAATTGTGAGAACCGCGACAGACTCTGCCCAAAACTCCCAGGAGGTGACGGCCCCTCGGGTCGCAATTTTCCGGGAAGCCATCGTCGATCTCCTTGAGATGGACGGCGCAGGGTTGAGGGCAGGGATCTGGAAGCGCTTTTAGAGGGTTCTAAATGGTTCCATGGGGTTTGAGGCATAGATCTAGAAGGGTGTTTTCAGGGTTCGATAAGGGTTCCATAGTGTTCGCGGGCAGATCGGGTTCAGTGTTTAGCCTTCGGGCTTGGTTTAGGTCTTTTGTTGGCTTTGGGATTGTTTCGGGTTCGAGGTACGCGAGGAAGGTCCCAATGTTCAGGGTGTGAGGTCTGGGCTTTGCTGGGCAGTCCTTGGCGGCGACGATCATGACAAATGCCAACAACAAGAATTGAGATAAGTTGGATGCTGATGATGCGGATCGTAATCAGCAGCATGATAGCGACAGCAGAAGTAGTTGTAGCAAGTGAAGCAACCAGAGTAGCAGCAACATTGTAAGAGCAACCAGAACAGGACTAGCAAGAACTACATCAGAGCTCAGCGCCTCGGGATAGAACCCGGTTCCAGGGTTGGGGCTTCAGGTCTGAAGGCTGTAGCCGGCTTCTGGGGTTCAGGGTTCCAGGCTTCCTGGTTGTATGGTGTTAGGGTTTTCAGGGTCTAGCGCCATCGACCCCAATGCCCCGAACCCTGAACCCTAAGCCCCGTAACCAAACCCTGAAGAGATCCAAATCCGTAGACCTACAAGTAGAATTCTCTTTGCCAGGAGCTGCCGAATGGACTCCCCTCTAAAGCACGGGTTGGCTTACAGGCGCTTGGGGACAACGTGGGCCGTGGGTAATTAGGTTTACAGATTTATTGGGGTCGGGTTGTTCATGGGCTTAGCGCTTGGTTGAGTGGTTTCGGATCCTGCGACATTGAGACAAAGACTGTGCTCAGGATTTGGAGGGTTTGGCGCGGGCAACTCTGGGTTTTGGGCGACTTAGAAGCTTCAGGGCTTGGGTTTAGGGCTTAGGGTGGCGGGCTTAGGGTGGCGCAGTTGTTGTTTTGGCCCACTGAGACGTGATCACTTGGACCACGCAAGTGACACCTTGATGCAGACGCCGCTTGTTATTCTGTCCAAAGTGTCAAAGTGTAGCTGGAGTCGTTGGAGCTGTGCTTGGAACGGGGGGGGTTCGACCGAAACCCCAAACCTCAAAACCCAAAAAGTTAAAGCCCTAAACCCTAAAGCCCTAAAGCCCTAAAAGCCCTAAAGCCCTAAACCCTGAAACCCTGAAACCCTCAACCCTAAAACCGAAAGCCCTAAACCCGAAACCCTGCAGGCGCTCCTGAACTACTCAGGGGGCGCGTACATTTACATTCGTCCGGGCCTCGGCATTCCACGGGCTTAGTTGGCCTAAGGATCTTAGGGACCCAAAAGGACATAAGCAGAAGCACTTTATGGGGGCATCCCTACCTTATTGGGCTTCATTATAAGGGGGTTTATATGGGATATCACTCTCCGAATTCCGAATTTTTGCGTATCCCTGGGATCGGTCTTTCTCACGAGTCTCGCTGAAAACTGATCTAAGATCTTCTGCTAATAGAGGCTTTGATCGTTAGAAGAAGGTTTTGGCCCCGACTCAGTAACAGTTGAATAATATTCTGAATATGAACATGTACAGTTCTAGTATATCATATCCTCAAACCTATTCTAATTGTTAAGGGTTATAGTTCTAGTATATCATATCCTGAAACCCTATTCTAATTATTAAGGATTATAGTTCTAGTATATCATATCCTCAAACCCTGTTCTAATCATTGAGGCCCCTACAGTACCCACAAGATCGGTGTCAGCCCCTCTATGCTGCTTCAGGCCGCGAGTACTCCGCTCGCATCAAAATCATCCAGCGCAGCTGGAGGGTCGCAAACAACAAGGCGCCTTACTCGTGCTTTCTATTCATTGAATTATTGTCATTACATTCTTGAGCGGGGGTTGGTTAGGGGTTTAGGGTTTAGGTTTAGGGATCAGGGTTTAGTGATGAGGGTTTTAGGGTTTAGGTGTGTGTGCGTGTGTTGATGTGTTTGTTTGTTTTGGTTTGTGGAGCTCCGCAGCGAGTGGCTTCCCCTCCCAGTTTGGGTGCATGAGAAAGTCGTGAGTGAAGGAGCTCGAGACTTCATCCATGTCAGACTATATACTCTATATCCCAAACCCGAAACCCTAAACCGCCAATGCACAAAAACAAGAAGAGGCCAATGCCTCTGCCAGGCCTCCGAAGAGGAGCAGGCAGAGGAAGCCGGCGCAGCCACTGCCGTAGTGGCGGACAACGAAGGTGGACGAGGGGTTTGCATATTACTAGTCCGTTTACGCGACAGCCAGTCGCTAGCCTTGCCAGAGCGTATCATATCAGCTGCAAGATTCCGAGACAGAGCTGTCATCTGGAAGTTGTCGGTCCCCATAGCGGGTTGATAGCTTGTGCGGTAGCCAGGTACTGTACTTGATGTAGTCCGGTACGAGTTATGGCGAGGCTGATCTGCTTTTCGTAGGCGTCTTTTGCAGTAGGAAGCCCTTGCTTAAGCTTACGCCCTGCGTTCCCCAAGTGCACGACCAAGCCCACACGAACAGCCATTACGGCTCCCTTGTTGCTCCTTCTCTTCGCCATCATTCTTTACTCACAGAGCATCGTACCTAAGACGATTTATGCCGAGACTTATGGCCTGAACCGACATCCCAAGCCCTCCGGCACCCTTTCCGCCCGCCCACACTCTGTCCCGATCCGGCCAGATCTGCTGCAGAAGTCGGCCGAGGAGAAGACTCAGCGTGCTGCTTCAAAGGATTCCACCAAAGACAGCGAAGGCTGTCAGGGCTTCCGTGTCCTAGACAAGGGGAGCAGTATCGATGGAGGCGGACGATAGACGATGGCAGCGATGGCGACGATTGTCATGGCAATCAAGAACCGATGATGTTGTTGTAGTCACGGTCGTGGCCGTGGTTATGTTGATAGGCATGATCGCCTTCATCATCCCTCTACCCACCTTCGCCGTGCCTTAAAAGCGGCAAAAGCATCGCCGTTACCCTAATCATCATCATCATCGTCGTCATCACCACCACCATCGTCACCACTATCACCGTCATGCACACAATTGTCCGTCGTGGTAATCATCACGCCCAACGTCACCATCATCGCCCGCATTATCACCATCATGATCTTGATCGTGTTCACATTCACGTTCATGTTCATGATGATGATGATGATGACGATGATGACGATGATGATGATGATGATCATCATCATCATCATCGTCTCCGAGGCTGTCGGCGTCGTCACGCCAAGCAGCGATGAAAACAACAGCGGCACCAACAGCAGCAGCAGCGGCAGCAGCAATCACAACCTCAGAGCAACTTTCCCCGGATTCCGCCCGCAAAGACTCTGCACAAGCTTTAGGCAATTTCACTGCCTCAGTTTTTGCAGTTTGTGCATACGCTTTTGCAACCTTACCCTACCCGTTTGAGCAGCTTTTCTCAACCTGCGAGGTGCTCCGTCGCGCCGGGACTCTAAGAACGAGGCCATGAGCACAGTGAAAACCACGGCCACCGAACTCAAGGCGAGCCTCTGTTCCTGCAGACTCAGTTCCGAGGGTAAGGGCACGGAGTAGTATAGTGGCTAGCATCGTGAAATAGAATGCATGCTACATCCCCGGGGCGAAAGGCTTCCACATACGAAGAACCTTCTCAGCAGCGTGTATGCGGAGTAGTTAACAGAGTAAAAAGGTTATATATACCACTACACACGTTTCCGGTTAAAGGGCCTGTCTGGACGGCGTATGAGGAGTCTGTTAGGGATGAGGGTCTCAGCACCAGGAATGCTAAGTTAGGGATCCTGTGGTGAACGATGGTGAACGTGAATTTCTCCTGTGGTAGCCTTCAAGTACAGTAAAGTATAGTTTAGCACAGCATACCATAGAACACGATAGTACCGTACGGTACAGTAAAGTATAGTAGGTATAGTAAGCAGTAAGTATAGTTAGCATAGTATCGTATTGTAGTTTTATAGCATTGTGTGATGTCCGTCACATTCATGCAACAGCTTGAACTGTGCAGTCTTATCGCTGGTCTAGTTCTGACAGTCAGTCTGCTTTTGCCCGTATTGTTTGCATTGGACGGGTGATGGCCTGAGTCAGGATTCAGGATGTGGTTCTTGGCATGTGAGGCTGCTTTGGAATGTCCGCCGATCAAGCGATGGGACTGCATGCCCGGCAGCCGTGCAGCTTTCAAGTCTATGCTGCATTTGTTGCTTTTCAAACCCACCTACTGTCCTTAGATGCCCGGTTGTCGTGGCATCCTCGCGCTTTGCCTATCTGTCTGCGTTCAGCTGCCCTGGGCGATCCGCCGGACGGGCGAAGAGGCCGATGAGACCTTTGAGGTCGGCGACAGGGTCCTGATCACCAGTGGCAAGTACAAGTCCTGCTCCGGAGAGGTGCTGGAGGTAAAGGCGGAGAAGGAGAAAGCCAAGGTCCTCCGGTCCTGCAAAGGAAGCGCTGAGACTAGCAGGGCTTGGTGGTACTCCTTTGGGCAGATCGAGGCCTTGGAGGAGGAGGAGCTGAGCTCCTCCCCAAAGGAGCTCGAAAAGGAGCCTCCTTCGGGTGACTTCGAGATCATACAGGATACGGAGCATTGGCAAAGACACCCTCTCTGTGATCGCTACAGGGACCAGGCTCCAGTAAATCCCAAAGCCACACCACCTCGACTGGCCGGACGAGGCGTTGTTCGTCGTGGGCAGACATTTCTGGTGCGAGCCCGAAGCAATGTCCTTGCCGACCAGGTAGCTATGGTTTTCTTGGCCTCCAAACAAGGAGTGGAGAGCGAGTCTGTCATTGGCAGGCCTGGTATCATCGAAGATGATAGCATTCGGCTGGAAGTGCCCACTGATGCCCCTGTGGGCGAGTACGAACTCCGACTCGTTGTTGGCGATCGTCAAGCAACTGCTTTGGGGTTCATAGTGATCTTCAACCCGTTCACCTGCCAGCAGTGTCCGGAGTCTGCAGGACGCCGCCGCAAGCTGAAAGCAGAGTTCATGGCTGAATATGTTGGGGGAGAGCAGGGCTTGTTGTGGCAGGGGCTTTCTGACGACCACGGTGCCAACGTATGGCAGCATGATCCGTTTCGGGCTGCTAACCTTTTGATCGGAATCTCTCTGCTGGCTGATCTTCCGCTAGACCTCCGCTCTGACTCCGCGGCCATCGCTAGGCACCTGACCTACGCCATAGGTGAAAGGGTCTGCTACGGGAGCCGTGGCATCTCTTTGGCAATCGCGTTTTTTGTCGCAAGTATTGTGCATGATGCTGAGCGGTTAGGAGCTGTCCTACGTGCCTTGCATTGCTCCTTGACATGTTGGCCAGGAAGTGGGGGGAGGGCAATTACGCCACGGGCCGGCCCTCCCGTGGCTACCGCTGTCGAACGAAGAAATACCTGCAAAGGAAGGGTGCCGGGCTGAGCTTTGAGGCCTTGTCAGGTAGTGAAAAAAGGATGGTCAGAATCAGAACATAGAAGCTGCGAGCAGCTAAGGCAAAGCGACTGAGTGGGCAAAGATCTGTTCAGATCCTTCCACCTGGACGTCCTCCTCCCCAATTCTGGAGCAACACTGGGGTCTCGTGCAATCTGGATCCAAGGCGACTTCCGTGCAATACTGCCAGTGCTTCGTCTTCTCCGGTGTGATGACTACCATTGGTAGAGCTCTTGGGATCGCGACGAGGTCCGTGACGAACTTCCAGTCAGCTCACGACACCAACGCCGACCGGGGGATCTCCAAGTTCTTCTTCGCCGCCTCGGACGGAGCCTGGAGCCCGGCGGAGTACCCGGAGGACTTGTGCCCTTCATGGTGCCGCTCCGCAGCAAGGGCCGAAGAGAAGGGCTGCCAGCTCTCCAGCTGCAAGCAGCAGCTCTCTACCGGCCGGGGCTTCACCGGGACGTGCGCCTCCTGCATGCCCTGCGTGCCCTGCAGCAGCAACTCCGACAGTGTCTGGTCCTTCCACGTCTGGAATGAGATGTACTTCGCCCGGAGCGAGGCGGGTGCAGACGGCTGGCAAGCAGTGGACGCCACGCCTCAGGAAGAGTCCGGCGGCCGCTTTCAAATGGGGCCTGCGGCCGTCAAGCAGGTGAAGCAAGGAACCAGCGACTGCTTCGACACCGACTTTGTTATCGGAGAAGTGAATGGCGATACCAAGCTCTTTGTGTACAGCGTTCCTGATTTCAGTGATACCGCCAAGGAGGAGGCTGCTGCCAATGGACGTTTCGTCCTGCACAGGGGGGACCCCCTTTATTCAGGAATCCGTTGGTACAACGATCCGTTTGGGGATATCTTCAACACCATCGGCTTCAAGGCAATCACCAAGAAGCCTGGGACGATCTCGGCCGCGTGTCTGGCGGACCCCATGCAGTGCGAAGAGGAGGACAGTCCTGGTGAATCAGGTTTCTGAGTCACAAGAGAGGCCTTGCAACCACATGCCCTGCATGCTTTGGATGATTCTCTGTCCAGTAGTGAGTAGTGGCATTGCGTCACGAATCATCCGCTTAATCAAAAGGAACATGTCAAATAAACACTCGTCCTCAAACACCAAACCCCACGCCCTCCCCCCGGCATGCTCAAACCAGACGAATAAAGCAGACTTGGTGGTAGTTATATAGTGGGGAAGTATGGTAACAATACTCATAAACCATATCAGGGGATTAAACGCCAATTATAGCTACCCATGAACCTCCGAGCAGAGGAGCTAGATCTGACCCCCTTCTACAAGAAGTGCCCGGACCCTCTCCACCGCGGCGCGTCGTGCCAAGCCGGGCCGGCTCGTTCGAGGGCCCAGTGCCAAGAGCCGGGGAAGAGCTCGAACTCGAGCTCTCTCTTGGAGCTTTGCCTTTGTTTGGAGGGGTGCTAGAAGGGGATCGAGGAGGGTTCTGTACAGAGATTTCTTTTGTGCATGAAAAAGATCTTGTTCGAAAGGATTTCCTGTGCTTTCTTTGAGGGCTTCGGCTTGAACCATTCCACCAGCGTCCTGCTTGCGACGAGAAATCACGTGGCTCGTGAGCCCTATCGGCCCTATCCCCCAAACCCTACACCCTGAACCCTAAATGTCACACTAAACGCTAAACCCTCCTGGCTTTCATGGTCCCAAGGAGAGTGGTGGCGCGATCCAAGAGGAGGCTTCGGGCCGGGCCGTGGGGGCGCAACTCCAGGAGCTAGCAGATGTCCAGGACCCGCCGTCGTTTAATCTATAATGTGTGTGTATATATACATATGTATATATATATATATATATATATATATATATATATATACACATTAATATATATATATATATATATATATATATATATATTAATATATATTAATATATATTAATATATATACGATGTACATGTTTCTGCATATGCATATGTATATGTGTATGTAAATGTATATGTATGTGTTCATTCATGAAGCTGCGCAGCAGCCTGAGATTCCCCCAAGGACGTGGCAGTGGACTTCAGCAGCTTCCTTCCAGTCGGCAGTATCGTGATGGAAAAGGATCTACCGTTGAAGATCTCTTTCCGGAATGCTGGGAGTCAGAGGCGGACGATCCGGTTTCTGATCTCCGCCACTGGCTGCGACTACCGTGGGCGACCTGTCGTCCACATGGAGACCCGGCGCAAGAAGTATGCGATGCAGCTGCCTCTGGAGGGGCGTGAGACCTTGATGCAACGCGAGGTGGAGTTGGCACCCGAGGGAGAGTATGCTTTCCAGCACACTCTGGCTGCTACAAACCTGGATCCCGACATGCTCAGCAGCCTTGAGATCAACGCAGCAGATGGCACTTTCTTCCTACAGTTTCATGTCTCCGCACTCGTTCTTGAGACTGGCCAACACTTTGCTCATGCGCCCCGCAGGCGCCTTGCGGAAGATCGCCGGTGATCCAAGACGTGGCATGGACGGATGCTGATAAAAAGGAAAGATTACAGACAGAGAGCACTTGATGACATTGCCAGTAGCTGATGACACTAAGTCTGGACATGCAGATTTTAGAAGCACTTGTTTGCGTGCAGGTTCCCACAACTTTTAACGAGATGTTCCTGTTCAATGCTGCCGTGATGGGTTTCGGCCAAAGTACCTTCGAATGAAATTAAACTGGGCGCTTTTGTCTCCTCGCCGATCTGCGAAGCTTATGTCTAAGACAGATGAAACTCAAGAAGGCTCCAGCGGCTATGATATGCCCCGGAGGCAGGACGACGGAGAATCTGCAGTAGTTTCTCCGCGGTCCCCCGCTCGCTTGTGTCAACGTAAACATCAATGCTTCAAAGCACCGCCTCTTTGCTCGAATCGCAGCGCCTCTTCACTGAGGCACCTGGATGCACCTCGTGCTAGACCAGCTTGGAGCCCGGAATGCTCAGCAAAACTCAGGCTACTGCTACTGCAGCTTCTACTGCCACTGCCCCTCCTCCTCCTTCTCCCCCTCCTCCACGCTCCTCCTCCTCCTCCTCGTACTGTCCTACTGCTCATGATGTCGCTACTGCTACTGCTGCGACTACTGCTCCAGCAACAGCAACTATCGGACGACGAGGACGACGACGACGACTACCCACCACTGCCCACCACCGCCACTACTAGTAATTCGCCTTTCACTGTACATGGAATGCCAAGGTTTGACGACATTGTGAGCAATGTGGCCACCAGGATGCAGAGCACAGCACTCCGCGCTCATGTTGTCCCTGCCTTTTTTGTCTCTTGGTCTTCTGCAGCAGCTTCTGGAAACGTGGAAGTCGCTGAGCGTCGGGTGCAGAAGTCGCGTGACAAGGCATCTGCAAGCTCAGCCGATGCACCCCTTCTGGTTTCGCAAGATTTGCCTGGCAAATGTTAGAGCACTGCCCTGGTTTTCTTCCTTAGGGATTGTTGCAGCATGTGTGGAAACATGGAAAGCTTCAGCACGCTTCCTGATCTTATGAGTGCTCGTGTTATGTCCTATTTCGCAGGGACTGCGCATGTGCGCCCAGGCGAATTCATACCGCCTGCAGGAGGAGTGCGACGTGCTGTCTCTCGTTTTAGCACAGCCTCTTGGATCAATTGTTTCGTGTGAGTTGTGCTGACGTCCAGGAGACTCGAAGCTTTTGTTCATTTGTTGTTTGTCAAGTATTAGAGCTTTCATGGAGAGGCTGCCGGCGCAACTTATGTGATCTACCCTATTATGTGTCACCCGACTTCACCCAGTCCTCGACATGATGATCAAACGAAATCACAAAATCCATGCCACACTGCACACTGAACTCCCCAGCCCCAAATCCCCGAACCCTAGACCGTAAGGGCACACTCAACTTAAACAAAAAGCGACACCTTAATCGGACAGGCGCCTTCGAGTCGGAACTCTGTGAGCCTTCGAGCTTTTGGGCCTGTCCTCGCTTTCGCTCCCTGCGAGGCATCCGGGCTCCATTCGCCTCTCCGAGCCCTCTGGCTTATGGCGGCAAGGGCGCAATATATATATATATATACATATATATATATATATACATATATATATATAGATGGTATACATAGAAAATTTTATGCATACATACATACATATGTAGATACATGATATACTTAGTATGTCGTATTTTCTGTGTGCGGTATGATGTAGTATATCATATGGCGGAAAGGATCTGGCTCATGTAAACCCCTGGAATACGGTTTAGGGAGGCACTTCTGAGCTTCGAATCCATGGAGGACGAGGATATTTCTGCAAAGGCTTCTTCTCACACGGTGCCAGGTCATAGGTAAGGACCCGAAGCCCTAAACCGCTATGAACCTATTCTCTTTCTCGCGCGGGACAAAGATCTTAACCTTGCCTTCCCGGCATCGCTCCGCACCTGTCAAGGTTCAAAGCCGTCATGCTGGCATCTTTGAGGTCCCTTGTGCCCAAGGACTGAGGGTGCGGAGGGGAGCTCAGGGTAGCGGCTTAGGGTGTGCAGCAGTATCATGCCTGCGAGCTGAATTGACGACAGCGCCAGCGATGCCAACCGTTAGCTAGTCTTCTCAATCTGTGATGGAATGTTCTTTCAAGTCCTTGCAGTGAAGAAGAACCCGTTCTTGCACCGAGGAACCCGTATACAAAACTACAAACCATGTAGTAACCGTTGCAGTAATTCACGGCAGCCCGGCAAACCTCGGACAACAGCCAACCTCAGGAGTGGGACTCCAACCACGAGGCCAGCTGCCTGCAGCGATGGGTTTGAGATTTCCTGTCCATTTTTGGGGCTCCTTTGTTTTACATGATTGTATAATATCCCCAAAACCCTATTCTAATTACTAAGGCCCCTGTAGTAGAATTCTACTTCATCGACAACGACAGCGCTGGATGCATCTGCAAAAGATGCAGTCCAGCATAGGAAGACCTCATTTTATCTAATTGTCACCAAAATCCCAACCCTACTGACGCCGCCCTGAACTCTAAACCCCTGAACCCTAAACCCGAACCGTTAACAGGCCCCTCTGCAAAGAAGGCCATCCATCCAGTCTGCCCTCGACCTCTCACTCGCAGCCCGAAACGTCCCAAACACAGAAACACAGGGTTCAGAGTTTAGGGTCAAGGGCTAGGGTCTACCGCATGCTGCTTCCGGCCCCCTAGGTTCCTACATTGTTATGCTAGAGCACTGTAGTCTGTCACCCAACCTGCAGGCCCTCCCTGAACCTGCAGGCCCTCAACCCTTGTACAATCTTTCTAGTACTGCAGTTCTTATAGCATTCAAGTCCTAAAACACCCTAAACCGAACCTTAAAAGATTGACTACAACATCTACTATAACGGTTACTACATGATGTACTGGAATACTAATTACCTTGAGTTTGACATTTCCCAAAGCCCGTGGTGGACCTGAAGACTTATATCATTGTTATTTTTGAAAGCTCCGCAGTTTCAGCTTTCTATGATGTGCCGAAAACCCTACAACGAAGCCCTTATAGTAGCCCTGGTAATAATTTAATAACCCTTCACGGGACCCTTCAACAGAAATCTATTCCAATGGTTAAGGCCACAGCACTTGCTTGTCAAAGCCCCGGAGTTGCCAACGGAAAGCACCAGGTCGCGTGGAACTGGCTCTGGGAGAACGTGGAGCGAATGCTTCGATCTCACATCGGCAAGCCTCAGGTGGGACTATTGAAGGTTTACGGTTCAGGGTTCTTGAGTTATTGGATTTAGGGCCATGTAGTTAACTGTTAAGGGTTCGGGTTCAGGGTTTACTTTTTGAGGTTTAGGAGGTGGGGACGTGAAGTAGGTGTTACTTGTTTTGCCCCGGTTCCGTTAAACACCCCCTATCGGGCTTGAGAATTGAAGGAGAGACATGCACTAACTCGAGAAGGGCAAAAGAAAACGTCTCCGGAATTCTCAAACTGATTTGTCCCTCCCGTAACTAGCACTTCCCCTGGTTCGCTTCTACCGCATCGCTTTTCACCAACATTCCACGAAAGGAAGCCTTGGCTTGAGGAGTCCGGGGCGTAAGTTTGCCTTGCGGTGTTTGTCCTAACTCTGAGCTTGGGCTGAAGGTTCGGTGCCAAGGGTGTCGGGGCCAGGTAGGGCCTCGAGCCCAGTGCACAGTCCCAACAGTTCTGAAAACATGAAGCCAGAGGACCAATACTTGAATACTGCAAACGGAGGCATGACAGGACGAACTCTGAACTTCACACCCTGAACCTCACGCCCCAAATCCAGAGTACTCAAAACCCCAATCCCTAGACCCTGTAATTTCAAGCCAAACCTCTCAACACTTCCAAAGAGCAAATCAGCGCGGGATAAAGCAGACACCACACCCTCCTTAAACCCGAAAACACAAACACTCCCTAAAGCCCTGAACCCCAAACCCTAGACCCTAAAACCCCAAAGCCCTGAGCCCCAAATCCTAAAACCCCTAAAGCCCTAAGCCCTACATCCTACAACCCTAGATCTTAAACCCCATGTGATCGGATGGTTTCGGTGTGATTGTAAGCTACAAAAATCGTATATACTTGTATAGTAGTTCTAGCGTCTGACGCTTTTGGAGTCCTGCAGTCGGAAAAAGGTGTGGCAAAATAGCCTTAAACCCTCAACCCAAAACCCTAAAGCCCTAAACTCTCCAAAGCCCTAAACCCAAAACCCCCAAAACCCTAAATCCTTAAACCCTACGCAAACCCTAAAAGATAACAGCAGGCTCACGAGGAGGCGCTGGGCCGTTTCATCCTGAGCCTCTCGGAGACTTCGATTCTCTTCTTGCGCCAGGAGCTCTACCGAAGGCTTCCCTGCCTAAACCCCAAGCCCTAAACCCCTAAACCCTAGGCCCTAAACCTCAAACCCTACGCCCTAAACCCTAAGCCCTAAACTGGAAAAAGGCCCTCAAAAAAAACTTAAACCCTAAACCCCATACCCCAAAACCCAAAAGCCCAAAACCCGAAGCCCTCATCCCCAAAGCCCTAAACCCCAAAACCCTAAACCGAAGGCTGCCCTTCTGACGTTTTTGGGTCTAGAGTTTAGGGGAGGTTCAGGCTTCAGATTAGCTTTTCTTGGGTTTAGGATGTGGGAGTGTCCGAAAATAGGGGACCCTAGTATAGTACCCGAAATAGTAGGATCCTTATGATGAGACCCCCCAAAAATACAAGGCCCCCCTAATTTTGGGGAACTCCCATGTAGGGCCTGGCTGAAGCTTTGGGTTCGCTTTTTTGAGGGGGACTGGTGGTTTTCGGTTTTTTTTGGGGGGGTTGCGGGCGGGGGTACTATGATTCCAACATTACGAATCTTCCATTCGGGCATTATCGGGTTTTGATAAGGGCTCATCTGCTTCTTAGGGTTTGTCAGGGTTCAATGAGGGCTTAAAAACCGCAGGTTCTGCGAGGGCTGCCAAGACATCTGCAGGCTTCACAATTCTATAAGATTCAGGATTTCCTTAAGTTTTTTTTGTGTTTCTCATTCTGGTTTTCAGATTATGGCCGGTCCATATTGTCGAATTGTCGGGGTTTGAGGTGTAGGATTCATGGGTTAGCGCTTCAGGCTCCAGGCTTAGCAGGGACATTTCGAATCTCAGTTTGGGAAGGTGTGTTGGTAACGAGTACAGCTACACTTCTCTCTAGGATTTGGATCTGGTTTCTGGTTGATGGAGAAGTTGACAGAGCCTCGTAGACAGAGAGGTAGGCTGTTCGGGGCCACCCACGAAGTATATCGGAGCTTATACAACTAAGTACTCATCGTCGGCCTTTGTAGTGTCGGCAGTAGAACAAGATACGTCTCAAATCCGATTTCCACCTGGGTCTCGATCGTCCTCGCGTCTGGGTTTGAACCATAAACGCAAAACCTTCAACACTCACTGGGTTGTGCTTTGATTGTCCTCGCGCATGGGTTTGAACCCTAAACACTAAACTCACTAAGCCCGAAGCCCGAAGCACTAAACCACGCTAAAGCACTGTAAGCCTTACTTTTCTCGGAAAAGCCCAGGTTCTTCGCTGTTGCCCCGGCCGGGCAGGACCATTTCAAACAGTCCACCACAAGGCTATATTTCATTGCCGACAAGAGCCACGTCAGAAAGGGGACGTCTGTTGAAAGTGCCCTTAGCCTTTGGTGCTGTTTTGGTGCGGACGAGATAAGTGCGCGCTGTTCACGGCTCCACCCATGTCCCGCGAAAGCAATGGCAATAAGGATCATCGAGATGACCGTGGAAATCTTCCGAACTCCGCGGCAGATGGCCCACTGCCAAGATTACTCTTCGGCTGTTGCTGATGGCATGTAGACGCAGACATGTCTACCTTTCTAGCATGCCGCATCAGACTATCGCGCAAATCTCGCCATTCTTCAGACAGTACCGGCCAGGTCGTCGACATCTCCGCCCTTGGTCTCCGCTGCTTGGCTAGATGGTACATGTAAGGTGCTAGAGTTAGAAGGGGATCACGGTGCCGCAGTGGCTCAACTTCTGAGCTAATTTTTGTCTCACACAGTCCAGGATGTGCTCCTGGGTTCCTACCTAGACTAGACAGTCGCGAGCCTTCTTATCTCATAGTCGAGATCTCATTTTCCCCATCCACTCGATATCCGGATACGTATTAGCCGGTGCAAAAAAGGATGCAAACTAAAACTGCTGCTGCTACTACTACTACCACCACGACTACTTACTACTACTACTACTACTACTACTACTACTACTACTACTACTACTACTACTACTACTACTACTACTACTACCACTACTGCTACTACTACTACTACTACTACTACTCCTACTACTACTACTCCTACTACTACTACTACTACTACTACTACTACTACTACTACTACTACAACTACAACTACTACAACTACCGCAACGACAACAACGACTGCAACAACCATAATCGCGGTTGACATTCTCCATATGTCTCTTCCACGGCCTTCCCGTTTTTTTGCATGGGCCGAGGCCACGTCGGCTACGAAGTGCCCACAGAGCTGTTTGCACCCTTCGTGGCTTGGCGTAGTGGAAATCTGATTAACATGAAGGCATCATGTCCTGTCCTGTCATCCGAGCTTGGTCAAAGTCTAAGCCCCATTTTCTTTGATGGTATGGTATAGTTACATGTTCAGTGATGCTAAGAGCCTACCGGCGAGCGCTCTCTGGATGGAGTGTAGATCTCTGTCACCAAGCGTACATGCGAAGCATGATGAGGGAGAACCCTTATGCCGTTGACACCGAGGTCTCTGCAGCAGTTGATGTCGTGCGGGGGATGACAACGGAGCCTTGCTTCTTTTGACAGCTTCGAAGCAGTCAAGATCAGGTAAGGCGTTACATGCCAGGCGAACAGGGACAGAATTCCCCAACAGAATCCGGAACACATGAGAACCCTTATGAAGTAATATAGGGGCCTAAATACTTACCAATACTGTTCTGGGGTTCCTTATACTTTATTTATAGTATAAGATATCCCAAAACCTTGTTTTGCTTATTTAGTCCCCTGTATATTACATCTCCGCATGTCTGTGGTTGAGGAATACGGGCTACCTTATTTTGGGGTCCTTACAATAAGGCTCCTATTGTTTAGGGTACTTTATTAGGGTCCCCTTTGTTCGGAACCCCCCCCCCCTTGTTTGCAATATAGGTGCCTAGATAGTAGTATATTACATCTTCCCATGTCTGTAGTGTGGTTAACGGTTCAGGACGATGTGGCCGAAGCAGCCTTCCGCTGGTCACTCACGCTGGTCTCGAAGATCTTGGTCCGAACGGTCTTGGAAGGCCCTGGGTCCCAGGTTAGGGTTTATGGTTGAGGGTTTGGGGTTTAGGAGGTATTAGACATGGTTATCCTGCAAATACAGCAGTACTCCCCCGAAGTTCCGAGTTCAATGGCAGAGCTAGGCTGGACAACGTTGCTGTCTGCAGGCTCCACGATTGTAATGAGGGCCATCAACACCAACCAGGAGAAGGCTCGCGCGGATAAGCTGGATTGCTCGCTATGGCTGCCTATATGAATCTTCATGCTGACTGCCAGTCTTGGTTCTGTTACTTGTAGTTTTCTTAGTCTTTTTAAGTCGGTGCCTCTGGGCATGTAGGGCAACATGAGCCTCCCTCTCGATGGAGTCGCTATAACAAAGCCATTGGGGCTCCTTGGATCATGTGGCAGTGCACTCTGATCCAAAAACAGGTTGTGTTTGTTTCGCCAGGCCCACAAAACCGGTCCCTGCAACCCCAAATCGGTATGAATTTGACAGTGCTGGCCGGCAACAGGTCAGATTGGTACACGGCCCTGAACCACGGGCCAAAAACGCTTCAAACACGATGCCTGCGAACCCGAAGCATTAGAGTTGGAGACGATTGATCCGAAGCCATTTAGGCCCGGCACAGCTGCGCGAACCCTGAGCCCATCCCAAAGTTCACGGCACAGCAGGCGCTGCGCAAGGCGATCGCCGTGGCGCCGCGCGGGCGGAGGGCCACTGAGCTGCTGGAGATCCGGGTGTCTTGGACTGCGACCGGTCAGTACTGTCATCATCATCATCATCATCATGGTTACTAATTCTTGATATTTCTATTGCTATTATTCTTAATCTTATGACTATTGTGATTCTTATTGCTATTTTTATTGTTGTGATTTTTATTTTTATGACATATGCTTTCCCCGAGGTGGGCACCCAGTCCATCTCTCCTCTCTTCTGGGCCATCGAGAGTGGGAGCCTGAACTGTGGAAAGGCTCCGTCAGTGGTGGCTTACAGGGTTTAAGGTTTTCGAGTTTTACCAGGTTGTGTCTGTGTGCGCCTGCAAATAAAAGAAGTGGCCGACATAGGTGTGCATCGTTTCTAACAAATATCCAACAGATATCCTTTAAAACCACTGCTTTCGGTTCCATTGGTTAACTATTGGTTGTGCTTGTTCATACGGGCATGTATCCCTAGCACTCAAACAGAGGCGCCCTCTTCACTGGTTTAAGCATGTGACAAGCGTAGCGCCGGCTGCCTCGACCTTCACCGATGACGCAGAGACTGCAGGGCGGCGTCAATATTCTTGCAACTCTTGTCACCCAACGACGGCGACGATGCGGTAGCAATGGAGATTATAGCGCTGGGACGACCCAGATCTCTAGCTGTAGCAGGAGGCAACCGCAGTCCTGGAGTAGCCAAGAACAGGATTGAGAATTTGTCATATTGTATCATTTCATCTTGCTGTACTATATTACATCATATTCTGTTAGGTTAGACCTCACTTTACATTACATATGCATCATGCATCGTGTTATACATTTTCGTGTATATGGTTATAGTATAGGTTATATCATAATATACTACTGCATATTCTACCATAGCAACTAGAGTATACTACACATTGTATTGCACATGGTCATATTTCACATTGTGTTATTCTGTGTCTCGTTGTTCGTTATGCCATATCACATTGTCATATTTCGCATGCTGTTCCCCTGTATTATCTTCTCGGCATCTGTTACAACATATTCGATTCGCTTACTTATGTTATACTCTTTTACCAATAAATCGCTGTACATCATATTCCGCTACATTATAGTTTGTGTTTAGTTTCAGAATGCTGTGTTACATCATGCCATGCTTGTTACTACACTTTGTAGTACTCTGTTCTTATTGTATAATCTCACATCATGGTTAGCTTAAAATCTATTCCATTGTGTAATGCTTTTAACCGATACTATGCTACGTTGCGCGATATACCAATCCATATTGTGTTTTTATACTACATTAGTATGACGTATTATATTGTGCAATGCCATGCTATATCAGCTTGTACTGTGTTATATGATATTGTATTACATGCTGTTCTATTATTGTACTAGACTGGATTATATTATATACGACGTGATAAGCCCTCAGTTCCCCCCAAACTTTCCATCACTGCAGTTTCGAAGAAGAGGCCCGTGCTACAGCTGGCCGAGTGGTGCCCCAGGGATAGTACTACAGGGGCCGAATTGGTTACCACTACAAGTTCTGAGAGCTCCTTTCATAGATTTCTACTTATAGCCACCCCCAAGACCCCATTCTACTTATCAGCGCCCCTACTTGGAGGTTCATGCGTAGTTATAAGTGGGGTAACTATACTTATATCCCAGATTAAGGGACTTGTAACCCCGCATGAACCTCCAAGCAAACTATCGTGAGGGACTTCGGCTCTGACATTGGCATCCGAACAGGCCATGATCCAGGACCTGCTAACGATCCGTGCGGACCGCGACAACTACTACTATGGCCCCTTGGTCGACCTTTAAGCCTTTGGTCTCTTCTAAAATAGTATGTCGTAGTATATCGTAGTATATGATAGTATAGCATAGACCAGCATAGTATATGACAATATATCATAGTGTATGATGACATGTGATAGTATGGCATCTCCCTTAGCTCTATGGCCTACAAAAGCCCAACAGATTTGTGAAGAGGCGACATGTTCCTAAAGATTTATTGCCTCCCCCGTTCCTGCCGGGAGCAATAAGGCTGCGATGATCTCTTCAACCGCCATCCAAACATCATTCAGAAGCTTTGTGCGGCTCTGAGACGGGGTCCGAGAGAGTGCTTTCAAGATCTTCAGGGTCCTATCAAGTTTCAATGAACTTCATGTTCTGCCCGTGCAGTTTGCTAAGCACAACGCTTTGCTTGACCCACGTTGATGGATGAAGCGAGTGACCTCAGTCGCGAGTGCGGAAGGTTGACATCTAATTATTCGGAGAGTTATGTCAAAGGGGACGGTGTCGGCTGATCGCCAAGCTTAGACTCACCCTCGACAAGTTGCAAGCCTTGCTGGGCAATGAGGGAAAGTCCGTCTGATACAGGGGCGTTAACAATTACCTATACTATTTTGCAGGGCTCCTCATTAAAACTATAGTGTAATGGGCCCCAAAACCGTATTCTTGTTTTTTTAAGGTCCCCATATTAATTGGATAGTGGCGGTGCGAAGCTGTTGACAGACAGCTCTTTGGGTGCGGGGGTATGACGTGCAGGTTGTTTAGGCGGACCCTGGCGCTGGATGCTTATACCAGAAAAGTTACCAAGACCCTTTCCCTTTCAGTACTCCCGGTAATGGATGTGGTACAATAGAATTGGTTATGGTGTATTACATCATTTTCTTGTCTATTCTAGTACATAGCCGTGTATTACAGCGTCTCACCATATGTTGTAGTACTTTGTAGTGTTCTACAGTATAGGATAGTATGTATAGGATGGTATGTGATAGTACATCATGGCATACGGGTTATGGTGAGTTATAAAGTATATGCTGATACATGTCAATATCGCACAGTGCCACAAGTCCTGCACAGGTGCCGAGGCTCCAACCATGCTTCAGCCCCTCCTGGATGGACTCGTTTGGCGCTCGCGTATCACTTTCCAAGGCAGGTCCATATGGGAATAGCCCCCCTCCCCCCCCCCCCCACGAAGCCCAACATGCCACGACCACAGCCGCTTCTTCTCTCGCCTGCTCTTGCTCATCGTCCCACCTCCCCCTTGTGTCCGGGCTCCTTCTCCTGCACCTTTCCCTCCTACGAAGAGGAGGAGGGGTGCAGGGATAGGTGTAGTTGTGGGTGGAGGTCTACCTGTAGAAGCAGTAGAAGTAGTAGTAGTAGTAGTAGTAGTAGTAGTAGTAGTAGTAGTAGTAGTAGTAGTAGTAGTAGTAGTAGTAGTAGTAAGTAGTCGTCGTCGGCGTCAGATTGGGAGTAGGAGTAGGAGCAGGAGGAGGTGTAGGAGGAGCTGCACCAGGAGGAGTAGAACTGGGGAGTAGGAGTAGAATTAGAAGAAGCAGAAGCAACAGCAGCAGAAGCAGTGCGGCAACAGCGGCAGCATCAGTACCACCACTGTTGTTGCAAGCACCACCGTCGAAAACAAACCACCACCGCCACCAAGACCACCACTGACACCACCGCCACAAGCATTTCGGCCGACAGTTCCACTTTCGCATTTCCCAGTGACCACTTCAATCTGCAGCCTGGCAGGAAGGCGGCGTGTGAACTACTACCTCAAGTGTCCTGTCTGGACGGGGACCTCGCCAGTTACAACTTTTTTTGACAGCCGGACACCTTGCAAAACCTACCACCCTAAATGCCTAGAAACCAACCCCCATTGTAGCAAGTACCCTTGAGCAGTCTTTATCAGACAGAGGCCCGTCAGCCTGTGGGAGATATTCACTACTGCAAACATGTAGAAGTAGTGAGTGGATTCGGATCTTTTACGTCGCTATGCGATTTCAAGGAAGTGAGTGGGGCTGGGTTGGGGGGCATCTTGAGGCACTTGGTGCAGAATGAGGACGGCCGCTTCAATCAGGCCGGGCTGCAAGGGTTGGCAGATTGGAGTCATGCTGGATGCTCGAGGTCAGGACCCCGCGGTTTGTGAAGTAGCTTCTTTTCAGGACAAGATTTGGCTGCTTCCCTGATGATGTGCTTCGATGTTGCGAGTGGCCCGAGGCCCTCGAGTGGCTCGCAGATTTCAAAGACCCGAAGATCATCAGCCACTCCGTCGTGGCTGCTCGGATCAAAGTCCGCGGCTCTCGTTGTGAGATCCGGACCTGTCTTACGGTCACCCTGTCTTTTCGGAGCATCGAGGTTTTGCCTGTGTGCAGTTTTGAGGCGCTTTTCGCAGACATTGTCTGGAACCGACTGGCCATGTATTACTTCCTGCTCACGAGACTTGACTGAGAATGTTTTCAGTTTTGTCTCGAAATGTCTCTGCGTGTCTGCGGCTCAAGCGTATTTTCACGCGCCAGGAGACTCTACTTCTTGCTGACCCTCGTTGTCTTTGCCACCAGCATCTTGGCAGTTAAGAAGCTACCCAGTGAACGAAGTTACGAAAACGCATCGGGGGAAGTCCTAGGAAAACCCCTCGCCAGCTGACCATGATTGCAGCGATAACCCTTCCTACACCCATCACCCTAAACCCTAAGCTGGTTCCACTACCTGTAACCCGGAAGCGCCTTACCCTGCGTCCTGCGTTGCTCCAATGCTCATGCATCATTATCAGCGTGACGACGAGGGTGGATACGACTTCAATCAACTTTATCATTAGTCTTCTTGTAAGCCATGCGAGATCACCTGCCACTCCGTTCTGTCGTCGCAGCGAGATTGCTTTCGAAAACTTGATTCCAGAGCTGGGTGCTTTTGTTTTCACTATGGCTGTTCCTAGCCCCTAAACCCTAAATCCCAAACCCGGGAGCCTATACCCTAAACCGCCTCATAGAAGGCTGAACAATCACCATTTGTTGTTCCTTCGGGTTCCTTGTTCTTCCTTGTTCTAATTATCATACCATAGCATGCCTCCAAGGGTCCAAAACCTATTGTGATTGTTAAGGCCCCCTATATCAAACCTTATATCCCTTTCCAGGAACCGATTAAAGAAACGCCATGCTGATTTTAAGGCCCCCAATCCCTAAACCCTTAATCCTAAAACCCAAGCCCCTACAGTTTTAGCCCTAAACCGGACTGGGAGGCCAGGCCATCTTGGGCAGCAGCGATGCGTCGACCCACACCAAGGAGGACGCAATAACATAAACGGAATCCTCGGGTCGCCCTGGTTTCGGATTTGGCATTTAAGGGATGTTGGGCTTTTTTGAGCTTAGGGAGAGTAGGCTTTCGGGTCTCGGGTCTAGGTTTCAGAGTCAGGTTTCCGGGTTTCTGAGAACCTGGAGCTTATCAGGATGTTGGACCGAAGGAGTTCACCTGAGTCGCTAAGTAGTTTAAGACAACCCAAGCTGCAGGCTCTTCTTTAGCGAGGTTACGGAGTCATTGGGCTGGGGCTGCCATCATGTTTCAGACCAGTCTCCAGGAGAACATTGCCATCTTTGCATGCCGCTGTTTTATCTACGTTGGCAGCATGCCGCCCGACGGCATTAAATGTGCTTGGTCTTCGATGTGGTGTCGGCCGGATGCCCGCAGTTTCTCACGATGTCAGGTGTCAGATGTTCATCCGTGTGGGCCTCAGTGGCAGCTGGAATGTCACTAGTAGCAGTCGCGAAGGTGGTCGCAGCGGCAGTGGCAGGGGTAAGAATTAAGTAGGCGGTAATGAGTACAGTAAGCAGCAAGGAGCATGCAGCAAGTAGTAAAGCAACTGCTTGATACTGCCTCTGCTACTGCTACTACTACTACTACTACTACTACTACTACTACTACTACTACTACTACTACTACTACTACTCTACTACTACTACTGCTACTGCTACTGCTACTACTACTACTACTACTACTACTACTACTACTACTACTACTACTACTACTACTCCTGCTGCAACGACGACGACGATGGCAACGACTACTGTTACTTGGGTGATGACTTTTTCAAGCACCCAGTGGTGCTAACCGAGCTCTTCAGGCGAGACTCGCCTCTTCGTGAACGACTGGCGACATGGATCCTGGGAGAGGCCTCGCCGACACTTTATATATATACGTATACATATATTATTACTATTATTAATATTATTATTGTTGTTATGGTTATATTGTGCTATATTATGTAATGCTTTCAGGTCTTCGGACTTCGGTCTCGGTATACACGCTTTGGATGCACTGTGCGCAGCTGAAGCGGGAGCTCGGACTTGAAGCTCCCGTGCTCTGAAGTGCACGCAGGCTCTTCAATAAGATCCCTATCCCAGAGTTCCTTTGCAGTGGCTTGGCAGCATTGTTAAAATTTTCGAGTTCACACGACGGCGGTATCTGCCTGCTTCTCTGGTAGCTTGTATCTCCAGCGCCACAGTGTCCACTCAGACTTGTGTGAAACTGTCTTTTTGGCATCGGAGGGCACGATAGCACCCTCTGAGCTGTTAGTTAGCTGGGATGACACATGGATCTTGAAGTTGTTTCTTGCTCGCTCTAGCCCTAGGTCGCACTTTCAATCAATTGTATGTATGTACAATGTACAATGGAGTTGTGCATCAAGCTGAGCATACAACAACGAATGATGTACACCGTGATAGCAGCTACTGGACGCGCAGCTGCAGTTGCCCTGTTGAGCTTGCTGCTGCTGCTGCTGCTGCTGCTTCTGCTGCTGCTAGCGTTGGTGTTGGTGTCAGTGCCACTGCCAGTGCTAGTGTTGCTCTTTGTCATTGTTCTTGTTCTTGTTCTTCTTGTTGTTGTGGTTGTTGTCAGAGAAAGGCACGAAGCCACCAATTTCGCCTTAGCCAGTGTAGCTTTTGATCTGATCTCCACGCCAAGGTGGCCAAGAAGTCGGCAACATGCTTCTGCTCTGGATGTTGTCCCTTGGGAGGCAAGCGAGTATGGTCGAACGTCCAAGTGTCAAATTCCGTATTCCTAAGATGTGTTTCGACAGAGCATTTCTTCAGCGAATGCCAGCCTGATCCAAGGATATTCATGTGCATCCAGGAGCCTATCTGGTGGTGCATCCCTGACACCTATGGAGACTACCCCGGGTTTCGACCCCAGCTGTGGGCATCGACCCGACGAACATGCTTCTGCGGTCTTTGCGGTCTGTGGTAGTTTCAAAAGTCTAAATCCTCAGCCCTAGAGACCCTAAAGCCTGAAGCCTAAGCGCTAAATCCCCCTACGGTGTTCCTGTGCCAGCTTCTGAGGTCGGGGCTTTTCAACACAGCCTGTGCTGCGGGCGAGCAACACAAAGATCCTCGGACATGGGAAGTCTGCCTTGCTCGCAATCAGAGTCGATAGTTGCCCAGAGTGACGACAGGGGGGCATGCAATGAAAGCTTGAGAAGCATGCACGCAAGTGCGAGTCGCAGTGCCCCGCTTCTCAGGAGGTTTACGCAGCATTCTCTTGCCACTTGGCGACATCATGGACCCGATGGGCTGGAGCGATTTGTCACTCGAGTAAGTAGGGGCAAGACTCTGGTGAAGTTCGACGAACACATACAAACACCACTGCAGCCACGCTTCGTCCCAAACGTGTCAACGCAAGCCAATGTCCGAATCGCCAAACTCTGCCATGCCCGGACAGAAACCCGAGACTGATCTGCCCAGGTGCAGCCATGCTGCTGTATTGTTTACTGATCCTGGATCTCAGTATCGTCTCCATGCGGATTTCTGCTTTCGTCCTGGTTTGTGGACGGGTCATCGCCGAGGTGGGACTTTTCTTGTGCCTGGGCCCACAAGGCTAGGGCTAATTAGGAGTTGCAGGGTCCATAAGTTGAGACTGCATTTTCAGAATCACCATGGGATTTTGACAGGATTTCTGTTAGTCAAGTCTTTTTGGGTATATCTAGGGCCTAGGGTTGAGGTAGTCTATCATCGTATGCATTATAGTGCAACTATTGCCGGGTAGATGGCCGCTACGAAGCCCAAGGAGCCAGAAGCCCACACTTCACCCGGCGCTGAAGATCTTTACTCCCCAACTCGGAATGCCAAACTCTAAGCCCCACGCCCCGAACCCCGACGCCTACATAACTACATGCCCTTATAAGCCCGAAATCCTAAGTAAGTCGTAAAGGCGAAGCAAGCCCGCAATGAGAAGCTTCAGGCCACCGGGCCGAAAGCCCGCAAAGGCCACAGGGCCGAAATGCAAGCAGCCCGGGTGCCCTAAAACCTAAACCCGAAATCCCCAAGCTCCAGAAAATTCCCTTACCCCTTACCCCTCAAATCCCCACACCCCTAAACCCGAAACCCTAAACCCTGAACCCTAAACCCTGGACCCTTAAGCCTAAACCCCTACACCCCAAAACTCCAAAAACCCTAAACCCCCAAACCCCTAAACCCCTATTCCCTAAATCCCTGAACCCTAAACCCTTTAAACGTAGGTCCACCGCCCAGCCGGCTCTCCTAAGGATGGCCGCCGTTTTCCTCATCCTGGCTTTTGCTTTGGGCATTAGCACCTCGACCGCTCTGGTACTTTAAGTATGATGTACGTCAACAAACTATATTGTAGTGTCTTGCACTTGCAGCATATTATATTGGAATCTGTTACAGTATGTAGTATATAGTGTATGATCGTACGAGTTACAAGATAGCATATTATAGTGTATGATTCATTAAAGCGATATTGCGGTTATAGTTTATCATAGCATATTATGGTATGTTGGCGTATATCTTTGCATGTTATACTCTGTCATAGTATATTGTAGTACATCATAGTATATTACGGTTGGTTTAAGTATACTAAAGCATATACTATGTGCTAGCATATTAATACGACTATGTTTGAGTATATTTGGGTTTATTAGAGCACATTAGAGTATGCTAGAGTATCTTCGAGCATTTTTGGTATATTATAGTATATCATAGTATGTCATAACATGCCACAGCATACTATAGCATTTTGCAGTATACCATACTTCATTATCGTACCTCCTACTACGGTATCTTCACGACAGCTCATTGTTTTGATGCTATTGCCATTGCAGCCTTGGTTCCGGGACAGTTTGACATGCAGTTCTACTTGTTTTTGCAGTTGCAAAGTGAGGGTGGGATTTGGAATTACGTACGTTGGAACATCAAGCCTTTTTTGCTGCAGATATTGTGGGTCTGGAAGTGGTGGCTGAGGGTCGCAGAGACCGTATCTTGAGCAACTTGTCAAGTGTTGGGTTATTGCATCTTTGGCACCGTTCTTTCAGCGAAGCTGGCAACTTCGTGCACCCGAAAACCAAAGCTGAAATCTTTTCGACTCAGCGTCGGACAGCAAGCAAGATGCCAGCCCCATCTCAAGTGGCAGTTGGGGCACCAGGCCTCTACAGTGAGGATATTTTGCAAGCGTTTTTTTGGCTTGGGCTCAAGCGGCCAAAAGCCCTGCTAAACGATAGACCCGAAGCCCCAAACCGAAGAACCAATGAACCGCCACCCGGACACCCCGGGCCCTAAACTTTAGTCACAAGAGCCCTCCAGGCGACGTGTGAGTCACGAATGCAGCCTGCAGACCTTTGCACGGTATTGGTGCATGTTATAGTAGAGGGTGGTGTCGTGTGGTGTAGATTAATACTAGCACGTTTCATCATCAGCAGCGTATGTAATAGTAGACTCGCAGGGAACGATGCACTGCATCGTCCGGAGGCTGCACTTGTGACCGCCTCCTGCTTCGTGTCAGGAAACGGGCCGTTAAAACCCAACAGCCCCTGAAACTTGAAGCTGCAACCCTAAAACCCTAAACCCGAAGAACTCCGAGATGCCGGGCAACCCCGAAGCTCGAAACCCTGAAGTCCTAAAGCCCTAAAACTCCAAAGCCCTAGAGCCCTACAAATCGCCGAAGCCCTGGCGCTTGCACCCCCTTAAACCCCCCAAACCCCTAAACCCTAAACCCCTAAACCCCTAAACCCTAATCCCCAAACCCGAAACCCCTAAACCCCTAAAGCCCTAAGCCCTAAACCCCCGAAGCCCTAAACCCTCAATGCCCGAGCCGGATGCCAGGCGCCCTCGACAGGCAGAGCCCGAGCTTTGAAGGCGCGAAACTCTGAGAAGACTGGGGCCTTGACTACGGGCTACGCTTTCTACGGTAGCAGGGTTGCTGTCAGGGCATAAAACAGTGAGCAAATGGGACCGGTAAGCAGGGTCAGTGGGTTTGGCTACTTGGAGGGTCGGGGGACTTAGCAACTGGTTATTTAGGGGCTTATAAGTACCACAACCCCAATTAGGGTCCCTTCTAGGGTACTTGTAAGCCTACTTACTACCTACTTACTAAGTCCCCCGACCCTCCAAGTAATGGTTTAGGGTCTGGGGTCGAAGGTCCTGACAGCGAGTTCTTGTAAGGTGAGGTACCCAGAGCCTCCAAAACCCCTTAATTAAGGAATATACCTTAAATTAAAATAGGAGCCCTACTATGATTTAAGGTATATTCCTTAATTAAGAGGTTTTGGAGTCTCTGGGTAGCGCAGAGGCCCGTCGGGGCGAAGCTGCGAAAGGGCAAGAGAAGGTAATGCGAGGAAAGGTATACTTTGTCGTAGTTGGGCAACATTTTGCATTTTTATGGGTACTCAAACCCAATAAGGAATAAAAGCTTGAATTTTTAATCCTATCCCAGCCAGGAACTAGTATAGCTAACAATACTGCAGTACTTTGATACCTTTTATTTGACAATATCTGTGTATAAGCTCATGGTATAGTATAGCCCAATGCCCTCATCTAAATATATTGGGTATCTGTATTGACTTCGGCGTGGCTCAAATTTGGTGTCTCTCGGGGGTGGCGTGGTCATGGTATGGGAACCCAGAATATTTGTACTTTGACGGAAAATGTCTGAAATCCATGGGCTGCCTGCTCCTCTGGATACACCGTTCCAGGTTCGGGATAGTATTGCAGAAACCTGAATAATTTATATTATTCCTTAGGATCCCATAGTATGGCCAAACTATAATGTGATCAAGGTCCAATTTAGTTTCTCGTCTGAGCCAGGCTGACTTGTGGGATCGACCAAAGCTTGCAGTATACCATCATATGCTTCGCAGTATACCATCATATGCTACAATACAACACAATGTACTCTAATATGATGTACTACATAATATACTGTACAACGTACTACTAGAACTGTTATACTCCGGACGGGCGAATGTCCCTTAGAGTGCAGAGGCAGTTGAAACAAGGCTCGCTTCTTTGGAAGAGGCCTTCTGAACGGAGGGGACCCCCTCGAGTGCCAGAGTTTTGGGACGGGACTGCGACTCTGTAAGACATACTCTTGTCGACTATAATATATAGTCCAGTATACTGTCATATAAAACGAAATATGTCAATATGCTCCAGTGTACCCTAACATACCTACCATACTAACGAATATACTTCGGGAGGCATCGGGAATGCAGCCTTCTCCCTCTTCGCCATGACGCTGGGGCTTTATCCCAGCGAAAACCTAGGGGAGCTCAAGGCCCCTCAGGGCTTTTGGGGTTTCTGGACTTGCGGTTATGATTTGCGAATTTAGGGTTTAGGGTTTAGGGTTTGGGGTTTAGGGTTTAGGGTTTGGGGTTTAGGGTTTAGGGTTTAGGGTTTAGGGTTTCAACCTGAAATTTAGAGTTTAGGGTTTGGGGGTGTAAGCTTGTGTGGGAAGGAGGTCGCAGGTACTTCTCTAGTTGGCATCTGCGCGATACGACCAATGTTTGGTCCACTCTTGCAACTCGCCCCTTCAGAAACTAGACACCGCATGATCAAGTTCGCAGGTTGTACATTTCTAGGTATTGCAGCACGTGTTTTACAGGCTTTGAGTACCCCAATCCCTCAACCCTCAATCCTAAAGGTATTTCAGGACTGGGGATCTTCCCTTTAGCCCGGAGAAAAGATCCACTCCTCAGTTCAGTTCTGCAGGGCGCAATCTGGTTTGCAGACATTTTCGTGCCGACTACTGCTTGAAGTGTCGAAGTGTCCTCATCGTAGTCGCCAGCCCCGGTGCTTCTGCCAGTACCACAAGCACGATTATCCGCGCCACTACTACTGCAGCTCTTGCTGCTGCTACTACTACTACTACTACTACTACTACCACTACTACTACTACTACTACTACCACTACCACTACTACTACTACTACTACTACTACTACTACTACTACTACTACTACTATACTACTACTACTACTACTACTACTACTACTACTACTACTACTACTACTCCTACTCCTACTCCTACTCCTACTCCTACTCCTACTCCTACTCCTACTCCTACTCCTACTCCTACTCCTACCCCTGCTCCTACTGCTACTGCTACTGCTACTGCTACTGCTACTGCTACTGCTACTGCTACTGCTACTGCTACTGCTACTGCTACTGCTACTGCTGCTGCTACTGCTACTGCTACTGCTACTGCTACTGCTACTACTGCTAGTTCTAGTACTTTTCCTCGTGTTCGTACTCGTAGTAGTAGTAGTAGTAGTAGCAGTAGTAGTAGTAGTAGCAGTAGCAGTAGCAGTAGCAGTAGCAGTAGCAGTAGCAGTAGCAGTAGTAGTAGCAGTAGCAGTAGCAGTAGCAGTAGCAGTAGCAGTAGCAGTAGCAGTAGCAGTAGCAGTAGCAGTAGCAGTTGCAGTTGCAGTTGCAGTTGCAGTAGCAGTAGCAGTAGCAGTAGCAGTAGCAGTACTAGTAGTAGTACTCCTCCTACTACTCCTGCTGCTGCTGGTACCACCTCCACTACTGCGAGGACGACTACTGCTACTATCGCTGTGCTGCTACTGCTGCTGCGGCAACCACTGCGACTGCTGCTGCTGCTGCTGCTGCCTACTACTCCTACTCCTCTCCTCCTGCTGCTGCTAGCATCTGCTAGCAGTGCTGGCAGTGCTAGTGCTACTAGTCTTTGGACTCAGACAGTTGCTGCTTCACGTGACATCATGCTTATCACGATTACTCTCACCATCAATATCATCTTTGCAATCTTCGTGTTCGCAGACGTATGCTGCTGGCATGGGAGGACACTGTAGGGGTGCTGATCACGGTGTCCGTGTTCACCATCCTGATAGCGATCTTCTTGCTGTGACCTGGAGAGCATGGAAGGGCTTTGAAGGTCAAGGGTGTGTTGGCGCTCCTAAGTTGAGCGCAAGGGGTCATTTGGAGTTTCACGTGCATTTGAGGGCTGGACTCGACGACCCAAGCCGACCCTGTAGCGAAACTTGCAGCAATAGTCGCAATATCGTAGTTGTAGACGTGTTAGAAGGCAGTCCAGTTCCTGAATTAGAGGCACGTCCAGACTCAGACTTCCCGGATTGCTTTGGCCAAGGAACCTCCTCGTCGCCCAGCTGAACCAGGCCTACCAGCTCATCTTCCCGGACATGCAGGGCTATGCACGCCCGCAACTCACTCTCTAGTTCCGTAAGAGAGCAGCACAGGGCATAATCCCCAGAGCGACAGCAACGATTGTGATGACATGCTGGCAGCAATACTGGCAGTGGCAACTGGGCATCATCAGTGTTAGTAGTAGCAATAGTCAGAACCACGGCAGGCATAGTCACTTGGTTCTCCGATGCAAAGGCCTGAACCGAGCTTCGGTGATAGTGCCGCGGCCTCGGTGTGGGTTCCGGGATCATGGGCTGATGCTGTGGTTCTCCTCCTCCTCCTCCTCCTCCTCCTCCTCCTCCTGCTCTCATCGTCGTCTACCCCCTCATCATCATCAAGACCGTCGCAATCGGCTACCTCATAGTATTCATAGTGAGCATCTTCATCTTCACGTTCATCTTCATCTTCATCACCACCATGGCCATGATCATCATCATCATCATCGTCGTAATCATGACAATCGTCGTCATCGCCGCCATCGCCATCTTCATCCTCATCATCATCATCATCATCATCATCACCCCGCCATCACAGCCATCGCCACCATCACCATCATTACCATCACCACCACCACCACCACCACCACCACCAACAACAACAACAACATCATCATCATCATCATCATCATCATCACCTTCCTCATCCTCGTCAGCATTGTCCTCCTCCTCATCGTCTTCCTCTTACAATAACAGTTTATGCAGAGAGGGGGCCTGCGTCAGCTGGCTCATTCTCAAGCCATGATCTGCTTGCACGCAGACTTGCGCCTCCGGAGGTCCACCGTGGATCAAGTGTCGCAGAGAAGCCGGGCCCCGAGCTGTCCCCACATTCGTGGCAGCGTCGCGGGCTCCGAAGTCTAAGAACGGGGCCTTGATGAATGCTTGCCCACACTATTTTTGGGGGTTCCTTATTATAACTATAGACTATAGAACAATTGGTCCCAAAACCCTGCTCTAGTCATTGAGGCCCCTACATGAAGCCCAAGCCGCCTCTTTGGCCGGTCCGAGACAGAGCTCGAAATCTGAGGATGGTCCCGATTCTTGGAGAGCCTGAACTTGGATGAGCGACTGGAGTTTAACGAGGGCGACGTGGGGCTTGCAGGCCACTGATGTCAGGAAGGCTTCTGTGGGAGTTTCCGAAAACTAGGGGGTACCTCGTTTTGGGGTCCATATAATATGGATCCTACTATTTTGGGTACCATATTAGGGTCCCCTATTTTCGGAAACTCCCATGTGTCTTGTGGTTACAGCTCGCTGCAAGTTACGACCGGGCAGTAGCAAAGGATAGTTTCGGTGCTGCTGTCTCGGTGGCGCTGGAGCCAAATTGTCTCTGATACATGACATGTAACAGAAGTCGTGAGGCATACCTATGTCACCTATGTAACATATGTTCTAAGACACTATGTGTCACGTATACTTTCTGCTGTTTGCAAGAATGCCTTTCGATCAGCGCATCTGGCCGTGCTTGGCTATCAGGTGGCATCCAGGTCATGGAGCCCTCTTGGGCCATTCGGCAAGGTTAGGGCAGTGGGCAGGGTTTGGGAGGGTTTAGGGTTCAGGGATCAATCTACCGGATGCATTGAGATCAAGTGGATGATCTGTAGTACTAACATTGCTGTATAGTTGTTGTAGAAACTATATGTAAGTACAGTAGACCCCCAAAGCATACTTTCATGTTCAAAGTCCTTTGATTAGGCTTACGGGACTTATTTCGTTGATTCACTGGTTCGGATTCAAAAGAGTTGCTATTGAAACTGCACTGTTACCACCATGGCGTTCTCTGACTGAGTTTATGGTTTAGGGTATAGGGCATTACACAGTCCTCCCCGCCTGCAGCAGCTGAATGATTTGCTGTTCCGTTCCCCGATGCTGTCAGCAAGCACGGCAATATGGACATGATGCTCGCAACCTAGCGAAAGCAATTCTGAAGCCCTCTAAACCCCCAGCCCTAAACTGCCTGGGAACCGTGGAGGCGTTCGTTTCTCTGTCGGTCACCCCTTTAAGGCTTAAGTATCTACTATAAGGGTACATGGAGCCTTTGGGAATATGCTTAGGCTAAGAGCACGGGAGGCCTGAATACTTACGTAGCAATTGGTCACAAGTTTCCAGGTCCTGCCGGGTGTACAGAGGTCTTTCCTGAGATCGAAATATGGTCGAAACCAGTAGTAAAACGATTCCTCAAAGTTTCCCAACATAGCTTTGGCACAGAAGTTGCCTCCAAAAACCATGCCCTAATGCTTCGGCCCCCTATGCTTCAAAAATCGTCAACCCGAAAGCCCAAGCACAGGCCCCTGGAGAGTCTCAGCTCTTCTGTATAGCCACAGTACGAACCCAGCATAGCCATTTGGGTTCTTTCTCAAGGCCAAACCCCTCAAGCCTAAACCCCCCAACCCGACATGCCGGTCACACGAGCCCATAAGAAACGCCCGCACAAAGCTTCCCACTCTCCAGCCCTAAACCCCGCCCAAAGCGCCCCTAAAATCCCAGACAAACAGAAGGCGACAGCTCTGAACATGAGACTCTCAGACCCTTAACTCTCAACTCCGCTCCACCCGACTGGAGCCAAGGCGAACCCAACGACGGTCTCAGCCTTAGTCTTCCGGGCCGGACGGGTGAGGTCTTGGGCTTTGGTTTCAGGGTGGCGCTTAGTGGTTTAGTTTTCCGTTTTAGTGTTTACGGCTTTTGGGGTTAGGGCTTAGGGTCTAGAGTCTAACGGTTTTGTTTGTTTGAGTTTGATCCTCAATCTACAGAGCACATCTTCGGCACTGGGCAGCAAACACGTTGCCTCTGGGGTGCTACAGATTTCGGGCCTCACAGAGGGTCTCTGAGATGCGCCAATCGAAGCCGGCAGTCAATCTGATCTCGCACCCGATTTGCCCAGCGAGCTCTTGGAACCCACGATGGTAGGCTATACATGGCTATAATCAGAGGCGGCCTCCCCTCTTCCCCTTTGCAATATGAGCCGCTCAGGTAGACTCCATCCGTCGGTTTGGTGGCTCGACGTCGACTACCATGCCCTGGCCAGAGGATGAGAAGATGTACAGCGAAGAGGACAGAATGTGCCATATTCCTGTTATGTATATATATATATATGTATACATACATCTATATATATATATATATATATTTATGCACAGGCAGACAGAGATATAGGTATAGATACAAACATGGACATAGACACAGCCACATGTATACGTATAGGCATTTGCATGTGCGCATGTGCGTGTGTATGTGTGCATATGTGTATGTGTATGATTTGTATTTATGTGTATATATGCATGTGCATATATATATATATATATATACACATGTAATGCTATAGAACCTATAAGACGGAACCTTGAGTAGAGAACTGACAATATAGACCCTGCCCTGTAATCTAAAATTTAGAGCCCAAAAAGTCGAACCTATAATGCAAAATCCGAGACATATACTTCATGACACAGAGCACGCCTTAACCCTAACCCTTAAACTCCAAACCCTAGACCCCTCAAGCCTTTGGGAAGTTTCGCGCTTCAGGCTTTGGGGTTTGTGGGGTTCGCCTTTGTCCCCGGTCTTGGGAGTTTTAGGGCTCAGCTTTGGGCTTACTTAATGGGCTTGAATAGTTACCTGTACTCTTTTGGGGGTTCCTTATTCTAAGTATAGTATCATGGGCCCCAAAAGCCTATTCTAATTATTCCGGCCCCTGTATGAGGTTTGGGTTCGGCGTTCAGGGTTTACGCTTGGGGGACCTTGCCCTGTAGTCCCTATCTAGAGCTCTGAGGCCTAAAGTTCTAAAGGCCTCAACCCCCCAAATCTGATCTCCAGGCCAAGATACACCCAAGCCAGTTCTCGGTGTGGCTGAGACGTAATCTGCCGGGTCTACGTATGATCTTATCTGCTTCTACTGGCTTGACTGAATATCTTGTAAGTGTCGTGTAGAGTCTATATCAAAGACCGCAAGAGAAAGGGTTGTTTGAGGGTGTTGCAGGGAGTTAGAAGGGTATTCGTTTACTGTTGGGGTTGTTGCGGAATGCATATCGAACGCCCACTCGAGTCTGTTCGGGCCTTGCTGTACTTTTCTTCATGGTTCCGGGTTTGCCCTTGAGCTCTGGCAGTCGCAGGACCGCTTTGAGCGCTTGGAGAAGCTGCCCCTTGGTGTGGTTAGGAAGTGCCCTACCTACAACGACCCGAAAATGTCGGACTTAAGATGACCACTCCAGGTTTGCGTTTCAGAGTCTTGGGATCTTTAGTGTTTTCATTCTTTCTCGCGCTATCTCGCATCCTGCAGCGGTCATAGCGCACAACGATGTGCATGTTAGGCAAGCGGCAGACCCTCCAAGACTTATTTCCCTTCGTCGGCCATGGCTTTTTAGCTTTGAGCCAGATTGCTGGGGAGATCCGAGGATGATCAGAGCCACGAAGGGCTCCAAGAAGAGGGGCAATCGCCTAAGTGCTGTTAGTAGCGGCGGCGCTTCCAACAGCAGCGGCACAGGCCTGAGTCATGCGTTCACTCTCACTTGTCCTTTGTGCCTGGTTCAGACGTCTTGCCGCAGACACTGTAGGAGCAAGGTAAGCATAGATGCCGGGACCTTGCCTCTTTGAAGCCCATAGGACTTAAAGCAGTCGGGCTCGAAGGCCCCTTGGAGGCTTTCTGCTACCAAGGGCGTCTGAGGGATGGAAGATACCCTAAACCACAAAGCCCGAAAGCCTGGATGCTAGCTGCTGACGGAAAAGAGGGCGTAAAAGTAAGCCCGAAACCCGAACTGTAAACCCCAATCCTCCCTAGTACTCCCTAAGGTTCCCTTACAGTCCCCTAAGGATTCCTTATACCCTCCCCCCTTGAACCACTCTCCCTTAAGGATCCTATAAAGTAAACCCCAAAACATCACACTGCCGGTTCGAAGGCAAGTCGTGCGGCTCCAGCTCAAGCTCTGACCATCTCACTGATGAAGGGCCCTAGAATCAGAAAGGCGCGGCATCGCGGAGTCTTTAGGGTTTAGGGTTTAGGGTTTAGGGGATCCTGTAAGGGCTCTTTAAACGGCTCTTTGAGGCTTCTATCAGGGTTGTCTATGCACTCCCAGGAGGCTTCTGCAAGGGGTTTGCTTCTCTTCATTTGTACGTTTACGGAAGTCCCTGTCATTTCATTGTCAGTTCTTGTACGTAGGTACTCGTGACATATCTATGCTAATTGTACTAAGTCTTCTTGACTGATGGCTATACTCGGCCAAGCCGAGAACTCACAGGACGCAAACGCTCGGGGACCGAGCGTTGCCCGATTTATCCAGAAGACGAATCATAAACCCTGAGTGGCTGGGTCATAAGAGACTTTGCGAGTTGTTGCATCATCTTCCTGATTTGATTTAGGTTGTCATCGTTGTAGTCTTATGTGTGCTGCTACTGCTGGTGGTGGTGGTGGTGGCTGCGGCTGCTGCCGCTGCTGTTGCGGCCCGATCGTTGCCACATGAGTATTATGGAACAGTAGAAAGAACTCCACCTATCCAGCCCACACCACAAACTCAGGACCGAAAACCACTGCCACAACCCCAAGCACCGTAACCCCAAATCAACAAAAAGGGCTCATCCCTAAACCAGAACACAGTCTTCTTGATGTGTTTAATTGCTACTTGTGCCAAAGATCGGTGGCAGGTTCTTGCCTGAGGAGGCAGCCCTGTGGTTTCCACTCGAGCATTCTGGTCGGCCGCTGGTGAAGCAACGGATGAAAATTTAAGTTAGTATAATACATGCAGAGTCCGGATAGAATGATGTCCCTCATAAGCCTCATGTTAGTGATTTTAGTGGTAGTGGAAGATCCACCAAAAGGAAACACTACTTGTGAGGGTTTCTCTAACCTGGATTACCAATGTTAACAGACAGGTTGCTTTGAGGTGTGCTAATCACTAAAAAGGTTGCTACAAGGTTCCATAAGACACCACAGCTGCCGCAATATCAACAGGCACAACAGGAAACGGCATAATGCTGGTAGCCTTACCTTAGTAATTTCGGTCACTAGTCAGGTACAGTTGTTCATTATGATGCAAACACGCATTCCTCCTCTACCCAACCAGGGAGGTGTAAGAAGAGCTGAAGTAGGATTTTCGATTTGGCAAGAGCAATACTTCACCAGTCTTGGCTCATAGTAATGATTCGTTTAGGTTTTTCGGTCGTGACCGTTATAGTTCAGGTTGGTGGAGTGCTACTATTGTGTTTACTGCAGTGGACATGTTGTTATGGGCATAACCCTTTACATTCATCGTTAAACGGTTCCGATTTTGCGACTGCAGCAGGCATTGTACCCTAAACCCTCAACTCTCGAACCGTTTTCACCAGGGAGGCGCTGGACCAGAATTGGTTTCATTCATGACAGCAGCCTCACCCTTTGCTTGACTTGGATTCTAAGTTATGGTTGCCGCAAGAGTGCCTTTGGGGTGCGGGTTTAGGGGGGTCCTCCAGGACTTTAAAATTGTAGGTTTAGTATAATTATCTGTCGAAGTCTTGGGTTGCAAGGGTTTGTCCTATTGACAGGCTGGGCCACTCAGTCTCCACAAAGCACCGCAAGACCATGGGTAATGCTTCAATGGGGGGCTTTTCCAATTGATGGTACCATTGAGCAGAGTCCTGGTTCCTAACTCTACAAAGCAACTTTTTGTAACGATGACCCTTCCAGGAGCCCTAATTCCAACAAGCATCCAATCCGAGCTTCCGATACTTCTCATGCAACATGTCTTGGTTCGTTTGGACGGTGCGAAGCATGACTTAGCTCTTGTAGCAGACTTGGACAAGATGCAAACCAAGTCGCCAGCGAAGGCGGATGCTGAAGCTTTCTGGTAGGGGGACCATGAGGATGCGGGTTAGTCTACTGTGGCATGATGGGGTTTGGGGCGATGTTCCCAGCGAGGGCTTTACTGGAAGCATGATCATGAGGCAAGCATGTTACAGTAGCGGCTGCCGAGGATACATCAAGCACAGGCTGTCGTGAAATACGGTCTCCCGAAGGTTGGGTCTTGCCTTTGAGATGACCTCTTCCAGTTTGAGTTGATCATGAACGGTCCAGTATAACGTATATAAGAAGAAAGAACAATATAGCATTCTACACACGCTATATTAATATATATATATATATATATATATATGTGTGTGTGTGTACATAGTATAAAAATGACATATAGACCTTTGCCATTGGAACGTGCTTTCCAGATGTGCTGCTGGCTACGAGACATTCCCACCAAAGGCATTGGTATCAGGAATCCGAAATCGCACAACTCATGGTCTCCTCCTCTAATTCGCTTGTGCACTCGAGGGCATATGACCCTCTTCCCGTGTTTATTCGTTATCAAGAGCTGCAGTGATGAGAAATATCAGGCGCACAGCCACCAGCAGCCGTCCCTGCGTGTCATCAGGGCCGAACACAACAGAAACTACGCTGACCAGCACATTCTGCATGGAGGGCTGCCATGGCAAAGCTGCAAGAGAGATATCTTCCAGCTGGCTGTGAAAGATCGCAGCCGTCTCGCAGCGGTTTTCAAGACCGAAATCTGTGAGCGAGGCGAAGCAGTGCCGATGGGCATAGCCTGGAGCTCCCAACAACACCCTGAAGCTGTTGCAGCTCGTGAAGGATATTATGATTTTATCAGCGACATTATCCGACCCCGGAAGGCCAGAGAGCTTCAACATTTCTATTTCTGTAGGCAAGAGCCAACAAGCTGCACGTAATCCTGCAGCTTTTGCCGTGCATCCTCCTTTGGCGTCTTAGCCCTAAAGCCTAGACAACTAAATCGCCTTACATGAAAAAACCTTGAACCCTAAACCCGCAAACCCAACTCAGCGAACTGCAGAGGCCTCTCGGCCCCGCAAACGCTTCTTCAGACACTCGCTGCCACGAGTCCGTTTCAACTGCCTGTCGCCACCAGAGTGCAGGAAATGGGAGTTCTTCGAAACAAGGATGCATTTTCGAGAGTGCCCCGCAGGTCAAAGACGCATGCATATATACATACATACATATACGTGCGCATACACCTGGAGTATGTTCACATGCATACGTGCGCACATACCTAAATTTTAAATACAGGCTTAGTAAGGTTTTGCGGACCCATTAGTGTTTTGAAAGATTCCCGGATTGACGCAGCGATCGCATGCAGATCCCGAATTCAGGCAAGTGACTATCGTTCAGTCCAAGGCGTCTGAATGGGACAGCATGGATGGCATGCGGAAGCAACCGCGAAACAGAGGGTTCAAAGTCTCGAGGCTTCTTGTGCCGAGCGGCATCTTCTGTTCAGCCCTTCCCGCCAGCTTCTCATGTACTACACTGTTTCCGTATTTGTCCCTTCCCATGCAGGGGACTTTGCCCTGCCAAGCCTGCCACCAATTTCTATACTGCATTCCTAAACTCCTCCTGAACAGCATCCTGGTGCTCCGAGCCTCAGCGACTCTAGAAGAGATGCTTGTGAGGTTGCCAGCTATGAGTCCTAAACCTTCGAACTTCCTTTGCAGACCTTGGTTGATGGTGGTGCACCGCACCCAAAAGCCTGCTTGAAACAAGAGTTACCTCCCCTAATAAGCACCTGGTCCTCGGCTTATAAAGCTAGCAACCCACGCCTCGACCCGAGCAGCTAGCAATGGCAAAACCTAAACCACAAACACCAAACCCTAAATCTTAAACCCTAAACCCCAAACCACTTGTTAAAAAGCCCCAAACCTCACTGAAAGGCGTTGTTCTGCCAGGCCAGCCCCGGTTCGAGGAAAAGTTTCGGTGTTGGCAAGACCTGTTGACTTGGCAACGGTGCCCTGTAGATCTTATGGTCCCGAGTATGTTTACGCCGTATAATGTACCTCAAATCCTCTTCTCAGAGGTTATTGGTCTTCCGGTGATGCGGGTTCTGGATGAGGTCGGCCTTCTCTTATTGGTATCCTTCTTGAGGTCAGGGCTCGAATGATGGGACGAAGTTTTGGACCTCAGGAGTGGGCGGGCTGTTAGGTTGAGCCAGTTTGGGGATGGAGGTTTTCTGGGAATCCGTGACGCGGCCGGGGTGGCCGGGGGCCGGATCGGGAGTACCTTCGGTGCTACCAAATACCCGACCTCGGCCTCCCAGAGCGCACAGGGGCTCTGCTCTACTACTTTCTCTGATGGGTTTTTAGGGGTTCTGGGTACAAGGGACTAGGCGAAGAAAGGCTACTACTTTCTCTGATGGTTTAGGGGTTCTGGGTCTCTTAGGGGTTGAAAGGTTGTTCGAGGAGATCAGGCCAGGACGGCGTGTGAGGCAGTCGAAGGAGAATAGAGGTCGGGCTGTGCTCGAGCCGCGCCGCGCCTCGGCTTCGACCGCTGCGGCTCTCTAGGCTTCATCGATCTGCTAGGGAAGTCAGAATAATTCATTTCCAGTCCTAGTATTACTAGTATCCCTGTGTAGTTCCCATATTCAGTATACAGACTATAATGTAATACCAATAATACCCCATAACGCCTACTCTAACTAGTTGTTAAATTTCCTTTTTTCAGCATTGCCTTGCTTAAAGGATCAGCAGACTTAGCAAATGAGTCTACGAGTAAGGTCACTCTAGTAGGAGGTGAATCTGGCCCTGATTTAGAACATGTGGGCAGTTCAAGCTTGTGGGGTCCGAGCCCCGAAAATACTATTTGGGAGGTTCCTAATTATAGTTATAGTATACTGGGTCCCAAACTGCTATGACTCGATGCTTAAACGCATTGATGATATCGTGCCTAAACTCAGTTAGGAAGTCAGCTCAAAGATAGCTGAGAGTTCAACGGATGCACAAGTCATCTCCAGCTTCATTAGCACCAGACTCATGTCCGCATCGTCCCAAACTGCTATTCTAATTATTAAGGCCTCTTCTGTACCAAAGAAAAAGCATTCACGAACACTTGCTGGGCCTGTCCGCGGCCCGAGTTACAACCTCGACGGAATAGCGGACCTGAAACCAGACGCCGACGCCTTGAACTGTTGTTGG